TGCCTGGGCCTGATCATGGATGAGTATCTTGACAATTTTTAAAAGCCCATCTTCCAGCCGGGCGCGGTGGCTCAAGCCTGTAATCCCAGCACTTTGGGAGGCTGAGGCGGGTGGATCACGAGGTCGAGAGATCGAGACCATCCTGGTCAACATTGTGAAACCCCGTCTCTACTAAAAATACAAAAAACTAGCTGGGCGTGGTGGCGCGTGCCTGTAATCCCAGCTACTTAGGAGGCTGAGGCAGAAGAATTGCCTGAGCCCAGGAGGCGGAGGTTGCGGTGAGCCGAGATCGCGCCATTGCACTCCAGCCCGGGTAACAAGAGCGAAACTCCGTCTCAAAAAAAAAAAAAAAAAAAAAGCCCATCTTCCAAGGCCCAGCCAAGCAGGGCCCTTCTTTCAGAAAAATACTTTGACATTTTCTGGGAGGCATATGCAGGGACCAGCCACTCTAGAAACCTCAGTGGGCCTGGAAATCTCCCAGCGCACCAAGAGTTGCTCCAGCTACCGTCAACCTTGGCAAGTGAGTTGGAAAGGTTTCCTAAAGGCATGTTCAACAGCAAGGGCTGCATGGGCCCACCTTGGGTCCCCTGGCTAGCTTTGCTTCCCCTGCAGTGGGAGACTTAGAAAACCCTTGGAGGTGCATCTTGCAACAGAGCCCCAGGGCCCTCCATGGAACTGTCCGCCAGAGGGACAGAAACATTTTTAAGATACACATCCATCTGTGCCCCATGAGGAGCTGTGGCAAGATTGAGGGGCCCTCCTCTGGCCTGTCCAAATTGTGCTGGTCTCGATTTGTTGGTCTAGTTTACCAAGTACTGAGACAGTGCGTGATTGAGGCCAGATGCCTTCCCCTGGGTTCCTCTAGTCAGCGCACTGCTCCTACTCCAAGGGCCTACTTGGAAATGTTTCAGGGAGATTCATGCCCTGACCAGACCCACAAGCCTGGGTCTTTCAGTGGCATGGGCCAGTCCTGCCACTGAAAGGGACTAGGTCCTATGCAGCAATGTAACTAGTCTTGGCATTCCCAGGGCCTTCTTGTTCATGCCAAGATGTCTCTATCTCCAGAGAGAAATAGAAATCATCAGGGAGAGGCATTGACCCAATGGATTAAGCCTGGAGCCTGCACCCTGAGGGGGCTTCTCAGGCTGGCTAGTCCCCACCAACACAGGGGTAGGCAACACAGCGGAGAGCTGGACTTTGAAACATTTTCTAGACCAGTGGCAAGAACACTGACACCCCCCACAGGAATCTCTGGCCACCCATTCCAGAGACATAGAAAAATATTTTAGGAGCATCTGGTGACTGAGCCATGCCTGGGACATGGCCAGGGTGGTGTCTTCACTGGGTCTCCCTCTTCATCCCCACACAGTCTTTGTTTCCAGAGGGGGACTTAGATAATATTTCAAGAGGCTCACCCAGTGACCAGACCCCACATAGCACTGTTTGGACCTGGGGCACCATCTCACGGCATCCTGCTCAGTGCTACCCACAGAACAGAAATATCTTCCGCAGGTAAATCAGATGGCCAGGACCTAACCCTGACCATTCTCGGGCCAAGGCACTTCCACAGTGCTCCTAGGCCATCCTAGACCAGTTTCTGCCATCAAAGGGAGCCTCGGAAATGGTTGGGCATTGCCTCAGATGACTTGTTCCTGCGTAGGCCAAGGTGAGCCTGGGGTGTAGTATGAGGGTGGACCTGGCTTGCCTGCAGTGCCCCTTTTCAGGTGTGAGACATGAAAATATTTGGGGGCTTGCATGGGATGACCAAACCCATGCAGGACTGACCACCACTTGGTTCTCACTGGCTCTCCATCATGAGTGGGACCTAGAAACTTAGCTTTGGGGGTGCCTCCTAGGACCACATCCCCTGTGAGGCCATGGCTGCCCCATAAGCACCCTCTTCAGGCCTTTGGCTGGCTCAGACTAGTGTCCATCTTCAAGGCACATCTGGCAGCCACAGCCAGGCCTGGGACACGTTGCTGGGGTCTCTATGTCTGTCATGGGCTGGTCCCTGCCTCAAAGAGTGTCTGAAGCAAGGGCCATGGCTAGGCCTGGGACTCTCCCTTGGCAGACTCACTGGCCTGGGCCTGGGCTCCCTCCTCCAGAGGAGAACTCAGAAACCTTTTCTTGAGACGCTGCTGATGACCAGGCCCACGCAGGACCAGGGCCTGATCCTTCAGGCCCTGTGCTTTCCAGGCCTGCCTGACGGGCCCATGGCAATCTTCCTAACACAGTTTGGATTTGTGTCCCTACCCAAATCTCATGAGGAATTGTAATTCTCAGTGTTGGAGGTGGGGCCTGGTGGAAGGTAATTCCATCATGGGGGTGGTTTCTGATGATTCGGCACCATCCCTTCATAGAGTGATCCCGAGATCTGCTTCTTTAGAAGTATGCATCACTTCCTTGTCTCTCTCTTCCTCCTGCTCCAGTCACGCAGGACACCTTGCTTCCCCTAACCCTTTCCACCACAACTGTAAGTTTCCTGAGGCCTCCACAGAAGATGCCTGTACAGCCTGCATAGCCGTGCGCCAAATAAACCTCTTTTCTTTATACATTACCCATTCTCTGGAATGTCTTTATAGCAATGTGAGAAACAGATGAATGCAGTCCCTTCCCTTTGAGGAGGACTGGGAGGCACATAGATGACTAGGGGCCTTGCAAGACCATGGCTGTGTCCCTTCCTCTGACTCGCAGTCTGCCTTCAGAGAGTGTACACAGGAGCACTGGGATAGGTGTTTGCAAAGCCAGGGCCTTACATGGAACTGTGACAGGACCCAGGGCCTGCTCCCCAGGCCTCCCAGTCACTAGAGGGAAAATGAGAAGTGTTTTGGGGAGGCAGCTTTCTGCTTCAGCATGAAGTACTCACTGGGGTCAACAGGGAGGCCTGAGGAGCACAGCACTTTCAGCCTCAGTACCACTTGGAGGCAAGAAGTGGTCTATCAGAGCCAGGACTCAGGCCATGGCTTGCCTCAGTGACACTGACCCTTTCTCTGACATTTCCTTCTCCCTTTATCGTCTCTCCAAGTACCTAAAAAAGAAACCAGAAGAACTTAAGGCCGGGGGTATCAGAAGGGCAGATCATCTGGGGCCTGTTTTGCAGATTGAAATTACATTGATTAATCTGAAAAGAGTTGCTACTTGTCATGATATTGAGTCTTCTTACCCATGAAGATGAACTGTCTATAGTTCTTCAGTATAGAACTGTATAGGAAAAGATGAAGCAGATTGGAAGGCAAGCTCAGAAAAAGTCCTGAATCCTACTGCTCTGGAGTTGGAAAGTTATCCCATAGGCCAGTGGTTTTTAATTGGGGGTGAGTTTGCACCTTCCCTCCGGCCCTCCAAGAAGACATTTGGCAATGTTTGAAGACATTTTGGCTCGTCACACCTGGGGATGGAGAGAGTTGCTATTGGAATCTCCTGGGTAGAGGCCAAGGAAGCTGCTAAATGTCCGATGGTGCATGAGACAGCCCTCCACGATCAAAGATTGTCCAGCCCAAATGTTGTTAATACTGAGGTCAAGACATGGGCAGTGGCTGGGGAGCCATGTTGTCAGCTTTGACTGTGTGGAGGTGGATGATCTGGTGTGATAAGGGGTTGGAGTCAGAGACAATAGTTGGGAGGCCTCTCAGGAGTCTGGAGTCTGAACTAAGGTAAGGCAGTGAGGAGGAGAGGGTACACCTCAGAGAAGATTCAGGAATCAAGTTGTTCTTTATCCCTGAAAGGAAAGAGTGAGGGAGAGGGGCAGGAAAAGAAATTCGCTACAACCACTGAGTTTCTGTCTGAGTGATGTAGGATATGTGGTATATACCTCAAGATGGAAAACTGGGGAAGAGAGGCTGACAGGGAAACGAGAATAATTTAGTTGAGTGTTTGGGCCTCCACGATAGATACTAATTTATTCTTTTGTTAACTATTTATCGAGTCTCAGTTATGATCTTGGTATTATAAGTGGCAGTGGCGTCAGCTGGAAGACTCTTTTGGAGCTATGGGTGAAACAGACAATAAGCAAACAAATATATACACTCACTTTGATTCTTGGAGATGTACAGTCATCAATTAGATTATGGATTTGGTGTGTCAAGAAAAATATGAGCTGCACATACAGATATGGGAAACCAGCATAAAGAGGAGAACTGAAACGGGAGGCGAAAAGGCTGCCTAGGCAGAGTGTGACTTCCCTTCGGTCGAATCATCGCTAATGCTGTGATTTTCTCTTCCTAAGGAGATGTGTGCACTAGCATGCTGTCTACGTTTTAGATGTTGTCGACTATTACTACACTAATGCAAGGTAATAAGCCACATGAAAACCATAAAGAGGGATTTGTTATGGGTTTGGGGAAGGGTTTGCTTGACGCAATAGTTAAAACTGTCACTGAAGAGGTACAGCTTTGATGACAACAAAAACGGTTTTGCACCTCTGGTCAGCCGAGGATTATGCAATCTTCCCAGCACCTCTGGCCAGGTGACAAATATGAAGTCGCCCCCAGGACATCTGGCCATGTGGGGTTATGATGTCCCCGGCACCTCTGGCCGAGGGAGTTATGAAGGCCCCCCATCACCTCTGGCCAGGTGGGGTTATGAAGTCCCCCCAGCCGCCCCTGCGGAGCAGGCGGAACGAGAGCGAGCTGGGGTTGCTGCCGGGTCGGGATAGCTGCTAGGCCGACGCTGGCTGTGTCATGCGGATGGGGGCACCGAGATCCGCAGAGATCATCACTGGAGGAAGAAGCTGCAGCGCCTGGAGGGTTCGGCAGCTCGGCAGGTCAGGGTTCCCGGAAAGGCGGGTCCCGACGCCCATGCTGACCCGGCACCTAACGGGCTGCTCTCGAGATCACTGACCAGAGATCCTCATATGGCTGACTCACGATGACACCGCTCACGGAAAGCGTAGCGTCGCGCGACCAGAAAATGCACACTCCCGCCCCCGCCAAGGAACAGCGCCGGGCCGTAGCCGCCACGGGAGCTCGAACTGTCGTGAGAACAGCGGCCCGTTCGCCAGTGGCCCGGCACGAGAGCTCGAACTATCGCGAGAAAACCGCCAACTCAGACAGCGACTGTCGCGGGAGCCCGAAGTCTCGCGCGAACAGCCGCCAATTCGCGAGACGCGCGCTGCGGGAGCGCGGAACATGGCGGAGCATGGCGCGGCACGGACAGCCTTGGAGCCGTCTGGACGCGCAGCAGGAGCGCGACGTGCGGGCGCTCATCCGGAGTGTCGCCGGCCTTCAGGACGAGACAGACCCCAACTTCCAGCTCGCCCAAAACTTCGCCTGGTCCAACTTTAGGTGTGGGGCGCGGCGCGGGGGCGGGTTCTAGGCCACAGCCGGGATCCTGGGCGTGGGTCCCGCGGAGCCTGGGAACCGGATGCGCCGGGGAGGGGCGTGGGGCGGGGGCGGAGGCGGAGGCGGACGCGGCCTCGCGGAGCCCTCCCAGGCCCGGCCGCAGCCCGCTCCACGCCGGCCAGGCTCTCCGAATAGTCACGGGGGAAGCGTGCAACTGTGTGCTTGCAGCGCGGGGCGCGCGCCTGCAACCGCCAGCGCTCTGGGAGCCCGAGGCGGAACTCGAGGCCAGACCGGGCAACGTAGCAACTCCGTATCTACGTATTTTTTTCTTTTTAAATTACGAGATTGTATTCTCACTGATCTCTGCTTCCACTAACTAGAATGCTGCATCCCTGCACAGCTCCTGGCACGTAGCACGCTAAGTCAACTGATATAACTGCTAATGCGGTTTCTCATGTTTGGTTGATTGGTTGGTTGGTTGGTTGGTTTTTGTTTTGTTTTTGAGACGGAGTCTGGCTCTGTAGCCCAGGCTGGAGTGCAGAGGCGTGATCACGGCTCACTGCAACCGCCGCCTCCGGGTTCAAGCCATTCTCCTACCTCAGCCTCCCCAAGGCGCGTGCCACCACCCTCCATATATATATATATATATAAATTTTTTTTTTTTTTTTTTTTTGGTGGACACTGGATTTCACCATATTAGCCAGGATGGTCTCAATCTCCTGACCTCGAGATCTGATCCCCTCCCCCCCCCCCCGCCCGGCCTCCCAAAGAGCTGTGATTACAAGCGTGAGCACCACGCCCGGCCTCTTGTAACTAATTTTTAAAGACTTAGGGAATTTCGATATTTAGGTAGATTGAGATCTCCTATTTTTCTTTATGGGAGATGTAAATTAAACAATATTTTAGTTCTTTACTCATAATGAAATTATTGCAGAAAGAATGTTAATGTTCTACCTGTTTAATTTCAGTAAAAATCTTCTTGAATAATGATTAGGTTTTCAAAACCTGTAATCTTAGTTACCTTAATGATCATAGCCGGTAAAGTAGCTAGTTAGTTGGTTCATAATAGGAATACAGGGCTTTCAAATTCTTTTAAAGCGTGCAAAGTTTCCGAAGTAATACACTGAATTCTTAACTGTAACTTATAAAAATAGTGTGTAAGCCGGGTGCGGTGGCTCAAGCCTGTAATCCCAGCACTTTGGGAGGCCGAGGCGGGTGGATCACGAGGTCGAGAGATCGAGACCATCCTGGTCAACATGGTGAAACCCCGTCTCTACTAAAAATACCAGAAATTAGCTGGGCATGGTGGCGTGTGCCTGTAATCCCAGCTACTCAGGAGGCTGAGGCAGGAGAATTGCCTGAACCCAGGAGGCGGAGGTTGCAGTGAACCGAGATGGCGCCATTGCACTCCAGCCTGGGTAACGAGCAAAACTCCGTCTCAAAAAAAAAAAAAAAAAAATAGTGTGTAGTATTAGACTACCTGTGACTTTTGTCACCAGTAGAAATAGCATACTGTTTTCACGTTGTAGTAAGAATTGTAGATATTTGTAAATGTTGTTTACTGTTATTTTAATAGTAGTTATTGGACCTACTGCTAAATGTTGTTATTTAATGCTTTCATAAATAACTTTTTTTTTTTTTTTTTTGAGACGGAGTTTCTCTCTTGTTACCCAGGCTGGAGTGCAATGGTGCGATCCGGGCTCAGCGCAACCTCTGCCTCCTGGGTTCAGGCAATTCGGCCTCAGCCTCCTGAGTAGCTGGAATTACAGGCACGCGCCACCATGCCCAGCTAACTTTTTGTATTTTTAGTAGAGACAGGGTTTTACCAAGTTGACCAGGATGGTCTCGATCTCTTGACCTCATGATCCACCCGCCTCGGCCTCACAAAGTGCTGGGATTACAGGCTTGAGCCATCGCGCCCAGCCCCATAAGTAACATTTCTTACCATAAACTTTCTGAAATATTTGATAACTGTATCTCAGTATAATTGGATTCCTTTGTATTTCTTTTGTGGCATTTAAAAACGTTATTCAGAGAAGGAGTCCTTATGCTTCACTGGACCTCACAATGACATAGAAAGATTGGGAACACCTGTTGTAGAATGTGTTCCGCTGGACTTAGATATGGGACCTTATGGGAAGATAGAGGAGCCAGAGGACAAAATTGGGAGGCTGAGGAAGCATTTGTATGCTGAGGAAAGGATGCTTGCATAGTCTTGGACATGATGCTTATTTGCCTGATGGTGAAGGTAAGGAAGGACGAGGTTCACTGCATTCTGAAAATGTGTAGCTGAGTAGAGAGCATATGGCTGATGCGGAGGACCATGAGATGAGTTCACTTACTGTGTGACAGAGTGGCATAAGAACTGCATTTTCTCTTTATTAGATTTCACCGTTTCTTGGATGTCAACAGCCACAAAATAGAAAAAACAATTGAAGGGTAAGTCAGTGTATGTATGTATACATTCAGAAATACATGTATTTTCGTTTTTTTTTTAATTTAATTTAATTTATTATTTATTTATTTATTTATTTATTTATTGAGACAGAGTCTCACTCTGTCACCAGGCTGAAGTGCAGTGGCGTTCAATCTCGGCTCACTGCAACGTCCCATTCCCTGGTTCAAGGGATTCTTCTGCTTCAGCCTCCCAAGTACCTGAGATTACAGGTGTACACCACCATGCCCAGCTAATTTTTGTATTTTTAGTAGAGACGGGGTTTCACCAGGTTGGCCAGGGTGGACTGGATCTCCTGGCCTTTTGATCTGCCCACCTCGGCCTCCCAAAGTGCTGGGATTACAGGCGTGAGCCACTGCGCCTGGCCTGTATTTTCTTATAGATGTTTTTAAGACAGCTTTATAATCATTTGTTTTACATTTTAGAATTTATGAAAAATTTGTCATTCATTCTGATCTAAGCAAAGCTGCTAGTTGGAAGAGATTAACTGAGGAATTTCTGAATGGACCGCTTCCCAGCATAAAGGAAATAAAGGTATGCCTTCAATTATGAGGTCTCCCTTGTGTTTTTTACTGTTTTCTGTCTGATTATTGTCGGCTTGTTTCTGTTACTATTTAAACATTCTATTTTAGTATTATCCACTGGCTAACAGGATGTCCTGGAAAGTCACTTGAATATTGCCATGAAACCAGATATGTGTCAGTTTGTGATGAAAGAGCTTGTTCTTTTTTTTTTTTTTTTTTTTGAGACAGAGTGTCACTCTTGTTACCCAGGCTGGAGTGCAATGGCACGATCTCGGCTCACCGCAACCTCTGCCTCCTGGGTTCAAGCAATTCTCCTGCCTCAGCCTCCTGAGTAGCTGGGACTACAGGCACGCACCACCATGCCCAGCTAATTTTTTGTATTTTTTTTTAGTAGAGACGGGGTTTCACCACGTTGACCAGGATGGTCTCGATCTCTCGACCTCGTGATCCACCCGCCTCGGCCTCCCAAAGTGCTGGGATGACAGGCTTGAGCCACCGCGCCCGGCCCGAGAGCTTGTTCTTATTTAAATCATTTTTTCACCTCAGTCCTTATAGGGAAAGAGCAATCAGAGATTGATACATGTAATAGCATTGTTTAAATATCTTGAAACTTTCAAATGGTTTCTCAGCACTTGGCAGTGACTGTAGATGCTTACAAAATGCCTGGTAGACTTTCATATTGTTTGGGGAATTCCCCAAGACCACCCTTTGGCACGGTGATTTGCTCAAACGATTCACAGAACTCAAAAAAGCTATTATCCTCACTGTTAATGGTTGATTACAGTGAAAGGATACAGATTAAAATCATTAAAAGAGGCCAAAGTGGTGGCTCACGCCTGTAGTGTAGTCCCACCACTTTGGGAGGCCGAGGAAGGCGGATCTCAAGGTCAGGAGATCGAGACCATTCTTGGCCAATGTGGTTAAACCCCATCTCTACTAAAAATACAAAGAATAGCTGGGTGCAGTGGCATGCACCTGTAATCCCAGCTACTCTGGAGGCGAGGCAGGAGAATAGCTTGAACCCGGGATGCGGAAGTTGCAGTGAGCCGAGATCGCCCCGCTGCACTCCAGCCTGGCGACAGAGCAAGACTCCATCTCAAAGAAAAAAAAATGTCATCAAAGGGAAGAAGTGCCTAGAGCAAAGTCTAGGAGAAGCTAGGCACACATGTCCAAATGTTCCTTCCCAGCGGAGTCACCTGGGGATGCACTTAAGCCTCTCAGTAACAGTATATGACAACAAGTGCAAAGGGTTGCCCCTCCAGGGCCAATCAACTGAGCCTTCGTGACCAGCATTTTCATTGGGGGTGGGTCACATCAGCAAGCAGCGCCTTTGTGGCTGACCTTAGCTACTCAGTCTCTAGCCTCCTAGAGGTCAAACTGAGGATGGCAAGCATGTGGAAACAGATGCGGGTTCCTGAACATGATGGGAGCACGTTCCATTGCTCTGCTGTGGCACATTTTTAGTAGAGACGGGTTTCACCATGTTGGCCAGTCTGATCTTGAACTGCTGACCTCAAGTGATCTGCCCATCTTGGCCGCCAAAAGTGTTGGGATTACAGGCATGAGCCACCCTGGCCTGCTCTATTGATGCATTTTCTTTTCTTTTCTTTTCTTTTCTTTTTTTTGAGACGGAGTTTTGCTCTTGTTGCCCAGGCTGGAGTGCAATGGTGCAATCTTGGCTCAACGCAACCTCCGCCTCCTGGGTTCAGGCAATTCTCCTGCCTCAGCCTCCTGAGTAGCTGGGATTACAGGCACGCGCCACCATGCCCAGCTAATTTTTTGTATTTTTAGTAGAGATGGGGTTTCACCATGTTGACCAGGATGGTCTCGATCTCTCGACCTCGTGATCCACCCGCCTCGACCTCCCAAAGTGCTGGGATTACAGGTGTGAGTCTCCGTGCCCGGCTTCTGTTGATACATTTTCAAGCTCACAGATTCTTTTCACAGCCATTCCAGTCTACTGGATGAACCCATCAAAAGCATTCTTCATTTCTGACAGCTTGTTTTTCATGTGGAACACTTCGATTCTTTCTTGGAGTTTCCATGTCTCCTCTTATAGTACTCATCCGTTCTTCTTTGTTATCCACATTTTTCATTAGCACCCTAAGTATATTAATGATTGTTGTTTTCAGTTCCTGGTTTGATAATTCCAACATTCCTGCCATATCTGAGTCTGGTTTAGATGCTTGCTCTGTCTCTTCTGACATACTGTGTCACGTGGCCATTGTTGTCTACCTGGACACCTGAGTCCAGGATTCCGGGGCTTTTATGTGGAGGCTTGTCTCAGGCATTGTACCTGTGTGGCCACAATGACTGAAGTTCCAGAGCCTTCAAAGGAAAGCAAGTATTCACCTTCAGTCACACTGTTTGCACAGACTGTCTGAACAGACTGGTACAACATGGTTCAAGATCTGAGCATACAGAACGCTTTTGCCAGTTCACATATTTCAAGAGCTCAGTTACCACAAGCTGGCCAAGGCTTATTCATGAAAATAAGCCCTTTTAAGGGACGTTGAAGGCTTCAGCAACTCAGGCTTGCTGAGTTAGTGCTTTCCTGCACAACTCAGCTAATATCCCAATTCATAAATCAATCATAGAAATAAGAAAAGACTGCCAATCAAATAGAAATTTGAACAAAGGAGAGTCATACCCAATAAAGGAAAATCAAGAATTTTAAGCTTATTGAAAAGTGCCTGTCATTTCATAAGATAAGATAAATGCAAATTAAAGCAACACAGATAACATTTTTCACTGACCTGATTAATAAAAGGTGTGGGGAACAGGTCATTTTATATGTATGCATATTTCTATTATCTGTATGGAGGATATTTTGACATTAGTTCTCAAAATTTCAAATGCAAAGACTCTGACTTAGCATTTCTCTTTTTAGGGATTTATCATATAGATAAACTCTCATCAAACAACATAAGTTTGCAATAGTGAAAGATAGGTGAAAAATCTAAATGTCATTAATAGGGGACTGGTTAAATAAAACATGGTACATCTGAGTTACACTATTAGACGCATGTGAGCTTCATGGTAACCTATTGCCACAGGAAAATAATTTTTAACCATAATGTTACACCCCAAAGACATTTCCATCGTTTTAGAAATAAAAGCTCTCATCCACTCAGCTTATACTTGTTAGTAATGTAGAACTCAGACTTCAGGTGGCTTTGAGTTTTCTCATGTGTATGCATTTGAGCTGTGAAAAAGTTTGAAGGTTAGGAATTATTTAGGTATAACTCATGTTTTCTCAAACCAGGAAAAAACTTAGGGATATAAGTGTCACGGAGTTGTCTTTACTCAATCTAGTGTAGAAAGCGTTTCCCAACTTCAGAGATTCATGTTCTTCATTTTTTTGTTTTCAGACAGATGCACATTATTCCATACTGTCACTTCTTCTGTGTCTGTCAGATTCTCCTTCAAACAGCAATTATGTGGAGACACCAAGAGAAAAAGAAGTGGGTACGTTCCTTAACATATGAGAAGTAAAAGAGAAATTGTTTGATTATTTAGTTAGTAAACATTGAGTTTTATAGAAACTTGTAAAAATCTGTGAAACTGAAGTATTTCTATTGTTTTGGATGCTATCACAATTGTAAACTTTTATGTAAAATGCAGTCAGCCCTCTATATCCTTAGGTTCCAGACTCACAGAGTCAACCAGCTGTAGATCAAAAATATTAAAAATAATAATACAACAATCTAATATACTTTTTTTTAAACTAACAAGTATTTACATGGCATTTACATGGTATTACAAGTAATCTAGAGATTATTTGAAGTACACATGAGGGTGCATTTAGGTTATATGCACATACTACACCATTTTCTATCAACCTTGAGCATTATGGAGGGTGTAGTACCTCCTGGAACCAGTTCCCCTCTGATATTGAGGGATGACTGTATTTATTCTAATTTTACAAACTACCTTCAGATACAGAATGAGAACCCTTACCTTGTAGAATGAGTTAATTAAAATGTTAAATGTTTTAGAATATTAATTTAATAAATGTTTCAATATTGTTAAATTTTTATCTGATTGTATTTTCAGTCTTGTTAGTCTTTTTCCTTTTAGTTTTGAGGTTTTTTTCAAAGATAGCTATAATAAAGCTGGTAAAGTTCTTCTGTTACATTCTAGAAAAGAAAGATGATTTTGACTGGGGAAAATACTTGATGGAAGGCGAAGAAATGGACATTGGTCCAGACATGGACACACCAGTAAGTGACAGTACTTTTGCTATTAAAAATTTAAATACGGCCGGGCGCGGTGGCTCAAGCCTGTAATCCCAGCACTTTGGGAGGCCGAGGCGGGTGGATCACGAGGTCGAGAGATCGAGACCATCCTGGTCAACATGGTGAAACCCCGTCTCTACTAAAAATACAAAAAAATTAGCTGGGCATGGTGGCGCATGCCTGTAATCCCAGCTACTCAGGAGGCTGAGGCAGGAGAGTTGCCTGAACCCAGGAGGCGGAGGTTGCAGTGAGCCGAGATCGCGCCATTGCACTCCAGCCTGGGTAACAAGAGCGAAACTCCATCTCAAAAAAAAAAAAAAAATTTAGATATACAACAGGTGATCGAGGTGATTTTAATATGTCTTCCCACCCTAGGTCAACTTAGCTAAAACAGGAACACTCTTAACTAAGCTAGAGTCATTTATTATGGAAGCCTGGTTAGGATTTTGCACCAAATCACTAGTGTTAAGAAGTTAAAAGGGCTGACCATGGTGGCTCACACCTATAATCTCAGCGCTTTGAGAGGCTGAGGAGGGAGGATTGCTTGAGCTTAGGAATTTGAGACCAGCCTGGGTAACATAGCGAGATCTTAAGTCTATTTCTTAAAAATAAATTTTAAATAAAGATGTTGTTTGGGCACAGTAGCTCACACCTCTAATCCCAGTACTTTGGGAGACGAAGGCAGGTAGATCACTTGAGGCCAGAAGTTCCAGAGAAGCCTGGGCAATACAGTGAAACCCCATCTACTAAAAATACGAAAAGTTAGCTGTACGTGGTGGCACACGCCTATAATCGCATCTACTTGGGAGGCTCAGCCATGAGAATCTCTGAACCCAGGAGGTCGAGGTTGCAGTTAGCTGAGATCATACCATTGCACGTTGTCACCCGGGTGGCAAAGTGAGAGAGACTCTGTCTCAAAAAAAGAAAAAAATAATAAGTTAAAAAGGTTGAGTATAAGTATCTCTTAAGGAACTCTGATCTCGGGACTTTTTGCCACCAAAAATAATTCCATTCCTTATTGTTTCAACGTTACAGAAGAAAAGAAAAAGTAATAATTATATTTCCAGTCCTATAATGGGCACTTCCAAGAGATTTAGAAAAAAAAAATTGATTTGGTTTTTGTTTTTCTGTTCCATGTTGCTTCAAAGTTTTGCTTTTCTTCAAAATCTTCTTGGTCTTTTAATATAAATAGCTTTAAGTGTTATACTCTGTAAGGTTTTTGTTTTTTTTTTTTTAATCAGAATTGGTCTGAAGAAAGTGATGAGGAAAATGATCAACAGCCCTTAAGCAGAGAGGACTCTGGAATTCAGGTAGACAGGACACCATTAGAAGAACAAGATCAAAACAGAAAACTGGGTCCTTGTATCAGTTGGAAAGGTAGGTACAGTGTGTTGTGAGGTGCTGGCATTTGCTAATAGACAAATTCCCCAGAGGAAAAGGCAAGCTTGAGATGAGGTCGCTGTAATCAAGGTATCAGCTAAGTGGTATCATCTTTATAAAACCAGTTTTTGAAACCATTAGTAATCCTTTCTATCTGACGCTTTAGTAGTAGTACTGTTGAATTATTTCATGCAGAGTGTAATTTTATAATTTTTTTCCTATAGTTCTGACAACTTTCTTATTCCTAAATGTTTCCATCTTTTTTTGATTGGAGAAGGACTGATTTTGCTAAGATTGTGCCGCTGCACTAGAGCGACAGAGCGAGACCATGTCTCAAAAAAAAAATTAAAATAAAAAACTAGGCCGGGCACGGTGGCTCACGCCTGTAATCCCAGCACTTTGGGAGGCCGAGGCTGGTGGATCACAAGGTCAAGAGATCGAGACCATCCTGGTCAACATGGTGAAACCCCGTCTCTACCAAAAATACAAAAAATCAGCTGGGCATGGTGGCGCGTGCCTGTAATCCCAGCTACTCAGGAGGCTGAGGCAGGAGAATTGCCTGAACCCGGGAGGCGGAGGTTGCGGTGAGCCGAGATCGCGCCATTGCACTCCAGCCTGGATAACAAGAGCGAAACTCCGTCTCAAAAAATAAATAAATAAATAAATAAATAAAAAACTATAAGGGAGGATGTCCACAGATTATATGCAAACACTATGCCTTTTTTTTTTCTTTTCTTTTTTTGAGACAGAATTTTGCTCTTTTTACCCAGGCTGGAGTGCAATGGCGCGATCTCGGCTCACCGCAACCTCCGCCTCCCGGGTTCAGGCAATTCTCCTGCCTCAGCCTCCCGAGTAGCTGGGATTACAGGTACGCGCCACCATGCCCAGCTGATTTTTTGTATCTTTAGTAGAGACGGGGTTTCACTATGTTGACTGGATGGTCTCGATCTCTTGACGTCGTGATCCACCCGCCTCGGCCTCCCAAAGTGCTGGGATTACAGGCTTGAGCCACTGCGCCCGGCCACTATGCCATTTTTCATCAGGGACTTGAGCACCTACAGATTTTGGTGTCTGCAGCGTTCCTGCAATCAATCCCTGGTGGATACTGAAGAACAGCTGTATTTATTCCAGACTCTCTGATCTGTGCTGTTGGTGTCAGTGTGACCTGGAAACAGACACTGTTACGGTTGTGGCTTGATAATATCATGTCTTAATACATAGATGGCAGATTTCCTCTCAGCTACTTGGGAGGCTGAAGCAGGAGAATCACTTTGCTCTGTTTTTCTTTCTTTTTTTTTTTTTGAGACAGGGTCTCACTCTGTTGCCCAGACTAGAGTACAGTGACGCAATCTCAGCTCACTGCAGCCTTTGACTTCTGGGTTCAAGCCGTCTTCCCACCTCAGCCTCCTGAGTAGCTTGAACCACAGGCAAGTGCCACCACACCAAGCTATTTTTTGTAGAGACAGGGTTTCACCATGTTGCCCAGGCTAGTCTCCAACTCCTGTTCTCAAACAATTCACCCGCCTTTGCCTCCCAAAGTGCTGGGATTACAGGTGTAAGCTACTGTGCCCAGCCCACTTTGCTTTTTTTTTTTTTTTTTTTTTTTCTCCCTCCCTTTTCAACTTCCCCAAGTAGCTGGGAACAAAGACATACACCACCACACTCAGCTAATTTTTATATTATTAGCAGAGGCTGGGTTTCTCCATGTTGGCCAGGCTGGTCTTGAATTTCTGACCTCAACTGATCTACCCGCCTCTGCCTCCCAAAGTGTGGGGATTACAGGGTGTGAACCACTGCACCCAGCCCACTTTGTTCTTTTTCAAAATTGGCTTAGCTATTTGTGAAGTTTTATTCTTCCATAGACATTTTAGAAGCAAGTTGGTAAACTTTAAAAAAAAAAAAAAAAAAAAGGCCCACCTGGCTCATGCCTATAACCCCAGTACTTTGGGAGGCCAAGGCAGGTGGATCACTTGAGGTCAGGAGTTTGAGACCAGCCCGACCAACATAGTGAAACCCCCATGTCTACTAAAAATACAAAATTAGCTGTACATGGTGGCGCATGTCTGTAATCCCAGCTACTTGGGAGGCTGCGGCAGGAGAATCACTTGAACCGAGCAGTCAGAGGATGCAGTGAGCCAAGATCATGCCATTATACTCATCCTGGGCAACAAGAACAAAACTCTATCTCAAAAAAGAAAAAAATCCAGGTGGAATTTTTATTGGTATTGCACAGAATTTATAGATCTAACTTGGGATATTTGATTGCCTTAACATGTTAATTTCTACATTTATCGTAATTCTTTAAGTTTTACTAGATTTTGGAAATTTTCTTTTTGAAGATCTTGAGAGTTTACTTGTTAATTTCTACATCTGTGACAGTTTTTATTTTTGTAAATGATACTTCCTTTGTTTATTCCTGATTTAGAGGAAATAATACTGGTTTCTGTAAGTTGTCCTTACATGCAACCTTTTTGTTTAATTCTGATATGAATCATAATACTTTGTTGATTCCATTTGATTTCTTATATAGATGATTAGTGTCATCTGCAAATACTGTTTTTTACGTGCAAATATGGTTTTAGTGTCATCTGCTAAAATTGGTTTTTAGTGTCATCTGCAAATATGGTCTTATGTCTTCCTGCTAGTTCTTATGCCTGTGTCTTCTCTGTGATGTGGTGATCGAATCTCTTTTCTGGCCCAGCAGCCTAGCCCTCTATTCTGTAGCAGAAGCAACAGCTCACAGGAGTGGGCTTCCTGGACAACTAGGTCACATCCTAAGGGGCATTATGCCTGAAACTCCTCCGTTAAGTGTGATAATTGTTTGGTATCAGTTCAGGGTATTATAGCCTTTATCAAATTAAGACAATTTCCTTCTGTTCCTTTTTTTCTACAAATCTTTAATCATAAATAAATGTTGAATTTTTATTAAATGCTATTATTTATCTGTGAGATAATCTCGTAACTGTTCTGTTTTATCCTAATAATACATTAATAGACTTTTTGATATTGATTTATCCTTGAATTCCTCTCCTAAACTTGTTTGATCATGTTATTTTTTAGTACATTATTAGATAGGGTTCAATTTTTGATTCACTTTTTTTTTTTTAAAGATAGGGTCCTGCTCTGTCACCCAGGCTGGAGGGCAGTAGCATGATCACAGCTCACTCCAGCCTCAACCTCATTTTAAACAGACGTGTGTTTTAATGGTGAAGCATAACTTATTGAAATTGAACATTTTTTAAAAGCAAAAAAAAAAAAAAAGACAGCTGAAGCTGTCTTCCACGTCAGCCTCCTAAGAAGCTGGGACTTCAGGTGCATATGACCACACCCAGCTTTTTTTTTTTTTTTTTTTTTTTTTTTGAGATGTGGTTTCACTATGTTAGAGAGCACCCCAGGCTGGGCTCACAGGTGTTAGCCACTGAGCCCAGCAGGTTAGCTTTTTTAATGTAGGATTTTTCATCATTATACTTTGATGAATTACATTTATCATGTCTTTAACTGGTTTAAGTGTCACTGTTACATTAGCCTCATAAAATGTCAGGTGGCTTTCTCTTTTTCTGCTTTTTCAAACGACTCATGTAAAGTAGACACCATCTAATCCTTCAAAATTTAGCATCAGTACTGAGGCTTTGAGAGTGGTTGGGAAGGTCTTTGGTTACCGTTTCAATTTCCTTAATGGTTACTGGACTATTAACATGTACCATTTATCTTTTTGTGTGTGGGACAATTTTTTTCAACTTTCTAGTCAATTACATTACTTAAATTTAGTATGTGTTTCTTTCTAAGTGTGTTGCTAGTCTTGAACTCCTGGACTGAAGTGATCATCCCCCCCTGGTTTCCCAAACGGCTGGGATTATACGCGTGAGCCATAGAACCCAGCTGATACATGTGGTTTAAAATAAATGATCATATATACGTAAATGTTGTTAGCTAGCTGTTACTTTTAAAAAGCCATTTGCAACTCTACATTTAAATGGATCTCTAAGTCCAGATATTGTGACCCAGTATTGTTGTTGTTATTGTTGTTAACTATTATAACTCAAACTTACTACGTTTCTTTCGAGCAGATGAGCCAGACGACCGAAGCTGGCTGGAGCATCACGTGGTCCATCAGTACTGGACAGCTAGGCCCTCCCAGTTTCCTCATAGCTTACATTTGCACTCTAATTTAGCTGCTGTCTGGTAAGAAGCTAAAGTTTTCACTTAATGTGATAGTAGAAGAAACTTTGATGCTTAAACATTTGGCTTTGATTTGTGACTTCCGTTCTTCCCTGAAACTTAAATTTGTTTTGGTTTTGACAATTTTTTTTTTTTTAACACAGTCTTACTCTAGTTGCCCAGGCTGCAGTGCAATGGTGATAACTCACTGCAGTCTTCACCTCAGCCAACTACTTTTTTATTTTTTATTTGTTTTTGGCGATTGGAGAGTAGGTCTTGCTCTGTCACCCGTCGGGAGTGCAGTGGCATCATTGTGGCTCACTGCAGCCTCTGCCTCCCGGATTCCAGCAGTTCTCATGCTTCAGCCTCCCAGGTAGCTGGGATTATAGGCACACACCACCACACCCAGCTAATTCTTAAATTTTTAGTAGAGATGGGGTTTCACCATGTTGGCCAGGCTGGTCTCGAACTACTGTCCACAAGTGATACACCTGCCTTGGCCTTCCTAAGTGCTAGAATTACAAGCGTGAGCCAGCATACCTGGCCAGTGTTGAAAATTCTAGTTGAATAGTTGTTTTTTGTTTTTTGTTTCTTTTTGACAGAGTCTCGCTCTGTCACCAGACACCACACTGGAGTGCAGTGGCGCGATCTCGGCTCACCACAACCTCCGCCTCCTGGGTTCAGGCAATTCTCCTGCGTCAGCCTCCTGAGTAGGTGGGATTATAGGCACGCACCACCATGCCCAGCTAATTTTTTTTTTTTTTTTTTTTTTTTTTTGAGACGGAGTTTCGCTCTTGTTACCCAGGCTGGAGTGCAATGGCGCGATCTTGGCTCACCGCAACCTCCGCCTCCTGGGTTCAGGCAATTCTCCTGCCTCAGCCTCCTGAGTAGCTGGGATTACAGGCACGCCCCACCATGCCCAGCTAATTTTTTGTATTTTTAGTAGAGACGGGGTTTCACCATGTTGACCAGGATGGTCTCGATCTCTTGATCTCGTGATCCACCCGCCTCGGCCTCCCAAAGTGCTGGGATTACAGGCTTGAGCCACCGCGCCCGGCCCCCAGCTAATTTTTTATATATTTAGTACAGACGGGGTTTCACCATGTTGACCAGGATGGTCTCGATCTCTTGACCTCATGATCCACCCGCCTCAGCCTCCCAAAGTGCTGGGATTACAGGCTTGAGCCACTGCGCCCAGCCGAATAGTTTTTGATTATTTAATTGCTGCTGAAAATCGTAAACTTATAGTATTATTTAATTATAATCTGTATTTTGATTTTTTGTTCACTTCAAGGAAAATGTATTGGTATATATTAGAGCATTATTTGATTTCTGTCTTGGTATACTCACTATAAAAATAGACAATATATTGTTTTCCAGAAAACAGCATCACATAGTTGTAAACATTTGCCTAAATTAGCAATAAACATAACAATTGCAATTGTTCTGAAAGTGTTTCTTAGGATTTTGAGTGGTGTGAAAATAGGGGGGCATTTGAGCCATTTATTAGATGTACTTGCTAATTGATAGCCAGTAGGGTTAGCACTAAATTGTGAATACTTACTTAGAAACCTTTCTGTTGACGTTTATCTTTGCTGTCTCATAGGGACCAACACTTGTACACCAGTGATCCATTGTATGTTCCAGATGACAGGGTTTTGGTTACCGAGACTCAGGTTATTCGTGAAACGCTGTGGTAAGATATATTCACTTAATTAATAGTTTTTATTTATGATGCTTGATTACTGACAAGCAAAACTTTTATTAAAGGAAACTGTTGAAGCATTTTCACATGCAAACTAGAAACAGACCATTAGGTATAAAGTTCAGACCAGATTTGACTGTCGAGGTTGAGAGATTTTGACATGTTTACTTGATTTTTGTTTTAAATAATTTAGCATATGATTTACTTAGATTACTCCATCGCTTCTTTAACTCTTGAGTTCAAAGCAAGGTTTACTACTATTCCTAATGGGCAGAGAGTATCAGTGAGAGCCTGTACCCGTACCTCGAAGCCAGGAATCTAATGCAGCACATGGTACTGTTACTATTAAAATTCCAGGTCTGGTACTCTCACCACTAAGTATGATATTGAGGTGCTGGCCTTCTTAGAAATAGGAAGATCTCTTGGGTCATCTAGTATATGGGGGAGATGCTTTGACAATATGTCTTGTACTTCTCTCTCAGACGATGTTGAAATATCTTGAGTAGTAAGGTAATCAGATGAAAAGATTGATGTCTTCCATTTTCTTATTATCTGACCTTGCTACCCATTAATTCTGAATATTTAATAAAAATTTCCTGAAGTGGGGCGTCGTGGCTCACACCTATAATCCCAGCATTATGGGAGGCCAAGGTGGGTGGATCACTTGAGATCAGGAGTTCAAGACCAGCCTAGGCAACATGGTGAAACCTCCATCTTTACAAAAAATGCAAAAATTAGCCAGGCATGGTGACATTTCCCTGTAGCCCCAGCCATTCAGGAGGCCGAGGCTGAAGAATCACTTGAACCCAGTAGGTTGAGGCTGCAGTGAGCTGTGATTGCTACTGTACTCCAGTCTGGGTGACAAAGTGAGACCCTGTAAAAAAACAAAACAAAGAACAAAGAAACACATTTTTTTCTGGGCATACTCTCATGAATTTTTTTCTAGACTTAAAGTACACTCGTCTTTTTTTATCTAATTTCAGGTTACTTTCAGGAGTGAAGAAGCTCTTTATATTTCAGCTGATAGATGGAAAAGTAACTGTGAGAAACAATATTATAGTAACTCATTTAACACATGTAAGTTATTTATATTTAGTATTATTTAAGAAATAATAGGATTTATGTAAACTGTGGTAATATAATTTTAGAACATTTTGCAATATTGAAATTAACTATAATTGAATTCATTTGTGCTTCCTTATGCAAAAAAGATTAATTTAAAACTATTTAATATCCAGGCCAGGCACGGTGGCTCATGCCTGTAATCCCAGCACTTTGGGAGGCCAAGGTGAGTGGATCACAAGGTCAGTAATTTGAGACCGGCCTGGCCAAGATGGTGAAACCCTGTCTCTACTAAAAAATAAAAAATAAGCCAGGCGCCAGGTGCGGTGGCTCACACCTGTAATCCCAGCACTTTTGGAGGCCGAGGCGGGTGGATCACGAGGTCAAGAGATCGAGACCATCCTGGTCAACATGGTGAAACCCCATCTCTACTAAAAATACAAAAAATTAGCTGGGCATGGTGGCGCGTGCCTGTAATCCCAGCTGCTCAGGAGGCTGAGGCAGGAGAATTGCCTGAACCCAGGAGGTGGAGGTTGCGGTGAGCCGAGATCGCACCATTGCACTCCAGCCTGGGTAACAAGAGCGAAACTCTGTCTCAAAAAAAAAAAATCAGCCAGGCGCAGTGGCAGGCACCTGTAATCCCAGCTACTCGGGAGGCTGAGGCAAGACAATCTCTTGAACCCAGGAGGCAGAGGTTGCAGTGAGCTGAGATCATGCCACTGCACTCTAGCCTGGGTGACAGAGCAAGACTCCATCTCAAAAATAAATAAATATTTAATATCCAAAAAGAAAAATTGAGTTGTGCATGTTTACAGTACTTAAGAGAATTCCTTAATATTCTTTGGGACATACTTAATTTCAGTTCACATTTTATGCTGTTTAGATGTGTCATTCTGTATTACAAAAGCTATATACTGTAATTTTTTTTTGCCTTAAGTAGATTACCTTATGTATATTTTTTAAAAATATAAGCTATAATTCTCTAGTCTATTGAAATTAATGCTCACCCTTTTTCCTTTATGTATAAAACTATTCATCATTTTATGACTTTGTCTTCTACTAAACATACTGTTTAAAAGAATTGTAAAAGAAATATTTTAGGGCTGGGCACGGTGGCTCAAGCCTGTAATCCCAGCACTTTGGGAGGCCGAGGCGGGTGGATCACGAGGTCAAGAGATCGAGACCATCCTGGTCAACATGGTGAAACCCCGTCTCTACTAAAAATACAAAAAAAAATTAGCTGGGCATGGTGGTGCGTGCCTGTAATCCCAGCTACTCAGGAGGCTGAGGCAGGAGAATTGCCTGAACCCAGGAGGCGGAGGTTGTGGTGAGCCGAGATGGCACCATTGCACTCCAGCCTGGGTAACGAGCAAAACTCCGTCTCACAAACAAACAAACAAACAAACAAACAAATAAATAAATAAATAACAATTTTACAGGGAGAGGGAAATGAATTTGGATGTTTACAAAAGATCACCTTTGAATAATTGCAGTTTGCTTCTGTCATAGAGCTGTTTACGATCTGTGCTGGAACAAATAGCAGCGTATGGCCAGGTTGTATTTCGACTCCAGGAGTTCATTGATGAAGTCATGGGACACAGTTCCGAAAGCATGCTGCCTGGAAGTGGGTCTGTTCCTAAGAAGTCACCTGAAGCTCCCTTTAGAACCTACCAGGCTTTCATGTGGGCCCTGTACAAATACTTCATTAGTTTCAAAGAGGAACTTGCAGAAATTGAGAAGTGCATCATCAATAATGGTATGAAATGTTCTTAAGTTTTACTCATGCTACACATAACTCATAATTGGGATGCCATTTAAATTTTTCATTATATAAGATTTGAAAGTTGCCTGGCAAATAAGTAGTTCTCAGGAATACTTCATTTTTTAAATTAAATTTGTATTCTTAACCCATTCATATCTCTCAAAATCAAAAAACTACAGAGGATTTACACTGAAAAATCTAAATTAGTCTTCCTGCACCAGTTCCCCAGTCAGTGGGTTCCCCTCCCCAGAGACAGCCAGGTCCTCGGCTGCTTACACATCCTTCCAGAAAGAGTTCAACACACACAAGCAGTGCGTATACATACATCCATACCTAACAGTCATTACACTACTCTCTCCAAATATTTCTAATCTAAATTTTGAGGATAATACTATAAAAATATGAAGAGCTTCTTGGTGTTTTATTTGTTGTTTTTCTGAAACAGAGTCTAGCTCTGTTGTCCAGGCTGGAGTGCAGTGGCGCGATCTCAGCTCACTGCAACCTCTGCCTCCTGGGTTCAAGCTATTGTCTTGCCTCAACCTCCTGAGTAGCTGGGACTACAGGCACATGCCACCAACCTGGCTAATTTTTTGTATTTTTTTTTTTTGAGATGGAGTTTCGCTCTTGTTACCCAGGCTGGAGTGCAGTGGCACGATCTCGGCTCACTGCAACCTCCGCCTCCTGGGCTCAGGCAATTCTCCTGCCTCAGCTTCCTAAGTAGCTGGGATTACAGGCACGCGCCACCATGCCCAGCTAATTTTTTGCACCTTTAGTAGAGACGGGGTTTCACCATGTTGACCAGGATGGTCTCAATCTCTTGACCTCGTGATTCACCCCCCTCGGCCTCCCAAAGTGCTGGGATTACAGGCTTGAGCCACCGCGCCCGGCCAATTTTTTGTATTTTTAATAGAGACAGGGTTTCACCATGTTGACCAGGCTGCTCTTGAACTCCTGGCCTCAGGTGATCTGCCCACCTTAGCTTCCCAAAATGCTGGTATTACAGGCGTGAGCTGGGATTATACCACACCCCCGACCATGTAGGGTAGGTTCTTAGAAATGGAATTGCCATGCATGATTTTGCTGAGTTTTGCCACTTTACTTTATGGGGAGATACAAGTAAACAAATGTATACTCTTGTAAGCCATGTAGATGAATACGTGTTTCCTCACACTCCTGACATCTGTATGTTGTCAGGCATTTTGATCCTCACCATTATGGCGGATGTAAAATGGGAACCCATGTAGCTTTGTACCCTTAACTTTTAGTTTGAACTACCACAGAAAATAATACAGAGAGGTCCTGTGTTCCCATTACTTTGCTTCCCCTGGTGGCAAAACCTCACATAGTTATAGTACAGGATCAAAACTGGGAGACCGGCGCTGGCACGGGCCACTAGCCACGCTGCAGACCTGACACTTTACCAGAGTTGCAGGAAGTTGCTTTGAGCAGAGGTGGGTGTAGTATGTTCGTGTATAGTTCCAGGCCATTTTATCACGTCTGGCTCCACATGGACTTCCCTGTTGAGGTCCCAGCTGTGCCGTCACCTCACAGGAGCTTGTGCAGCCCTTTGTAGGCACAGCCTCCTGCACTAACATTGGCCCATGGGGAGGTGTTCTGCTTTACCTTGTATAATTTTAATTTGTATTCTTCTATTATAAGTAACTTACCGTGCCGGGCGCGGTGGCTCAAGCCTGTAATCCCAGCACTTTGGGAGGCCAAGGCGGGTGGATCACGAGGTCAAGAGATCGAGACCATCCTGGTCAACATGGTGAAACCGCGTCTCTACTAAAAATAAAAATCAGCTGCGCATGGTGGCGCGTGCCTGTAATCCCAGCTACTCAGGAGGCTGAGGCAGGAGAATTGCCTGAACCCAGGAGGCGGAGGTTGCGGTGAGCCGAGATCGCGCCATTGCACTCCAGCCTGGGTAACAAGAGCGAAACTCCGTCTCAAAAAATAAAAAAAATAAAAAAATAAAAAAAATAAGTAACTTAACTGTGACTTTCTGTATGTTTTAGAACCACTCATTTTTCCTTTTCCATGAACTATCAGTTCCTTTATATGTTTTTTTTCTGCTGAGTTATCTTTTTCTCCATGACGTGCAGGAGTTCTTCCTTAGGGAATTGAGGTCCTTGTGATGTGAGATCAAAATCCACCATCCTTCATTTTCCCTTGCCTGCCCATAAACCTGATGATTTGCCAGCATTTATGTCGCATTTTAGATGCATGTATTTTTCCTTGCTATTGAGTTTGATTTGTTGATATTTGCAGATGCTACAATAACTCTTGCAATAGTGGTGGACAAGTTGTCACCTCGATTGGCTCAGCTCAAGGTTCTGCACAGAGTATTTAGTACCGGAGTAGCAGAAGTTCCACCTGATACTCGAAATGTCGTCCGGGCCTCCCACCTGCTCAACACCCTGTACAAGGCCATTCTCGAATATGACAACGTTGGAGAAGCCTCTGAGCAAACTGTATGTGAGACTTCTGCCTAAAGTGTGTGACTCCATTCTGCAGAGCAGAGGGTGGGAGATAGCTGGTCATGGTTCTGTGTTAAATGATACTCAAATGGTGACTTGTCGGACAGTTCAGAGTTTTTCAAATGAGCTTCCAAATTTGAGGCTGTATGAAACTAACTCTTGAGCTCTAATTGCCAAGATCCTCAGAAGGATGAGGTAAGGGCAAAGCAACATGTGAGAAATACCTAGCTGATGTGTGTAGCCGTTTACAATCATGCTTTCTTACATAAAACTAAGTCTGTTGTATGAAGTATCCAAAGTAGTCACATCCACAGAAACTAGGTGTAATGGTGGTTACCAAGGACTGGGGAATAGGGAGCTGTTATTTAATGGGTACAGAGTTTCAGTTATACAACATGAAAACGTTCTGGAGATTGGTCACAACAATGTGAATGTACTTACAAATGGTGAGGGTGGGACACAGCGGCTCACACCTGTGAGCCCAACACTTCGGGAGGCCAAGGGAGGACTGCTTAAGCACAGGAGTTTGAGGCTTGCCTGGCCAATATAGTGAGAGCCTGTCTTTAAAAAAATAAGTTAAAATTTAAAAAAGAAACAAATAGGTAAGATGAGAAATTTTATGTTATATATTTTATATTGTATTTAAAAAATACAAATCTATGCCAGACATAGTGGCTTACGCCTGTAGTCCCAGCTACTTAGGAGTCTGAGGTGAGAGGATCACTTGAACCCAGGAATTTGAAACCAGCTTGGGCAGCATACTGAGACCCTGTCTCTCAAAAAAATTTTAAAAGTAGCCAGGTGTGGTGACACCAGGAATTTGAGACCAGCCTGTACAACATGATGAAACCCCGTCTCTACAAAAAAATACAAAAATTAGCCGAGTGTGGTGGCAAACACCTATAGTCCCAACTACTCGGGAGGCTCAGACAGGAGAATCACTTGAATCCAGGAGGGGTTGCAGTGAGCAATACCTCCTGGATTTTGCTCTACAAAAAAATCATGTAGATCATGCCACTACACTCCAGCCTGGGCGATAGAGCGACACTGTCTCAAAAAATAGTGAGCTATGGAGTAGTAGCCATGCCTGTGGTCCCAGGTACTCGAGAGGCTGAGGCAGGAAGATTGCTGGAGTGTGGAAGGTTGAGGCTCCAGCAAGCCATGTTTGCGCCACTGCACTTTAGCTGTGTGACAGAGCGAGACCCTGTATCAGACAATATGTAAATTAAAAAATCTGCCGGGTGTGGTGGCTCACGCCTGTAATCCTAGCACTTTGGGAGGCCGAGGCGGGCGGATCATGAGGTCAAGAGATCAAGACCATCCTGGTCAACATGGTGAAACCCCGTCTCTACCGAAAATACAAAAAATTAGCTGGGCATGGTGGCGCGTGCCTATAATTCCAGCTACTCACGAGGCTGAGGCAGGAGAATTGCCTGAACCCAGGAGGCGGAGGTTGCGGTTAGCCGAGATCACGCCCTTGCACTCCAGCCTGGGTAACAAGAGCGAAACTCCGTCTCAAAAAAAAAAAAAATACCTATCTAGAGGCTGTAATTTAGAAGGCTGCAGTTTTATTTGGGTATGTATATGAGGTGTATTTTCCAGTTTGTTGGTATAACGTTTTTTCTCACCAATTTAATACTGCATTTCAATATAAAAGAGATTGATTTTCTCTCAGCACTGCCATTTTTGTCCTCTGAGAGCTACTGGAATTAAGTAATTTCCTCAGTCTTAACAGACACCTTGCTAGTAGTACGATTTGGGTAGGGAAGCCTTGCTCGCCTGCCAGGGCTGTCTCAGGTCACACCTGCCTCTGTGTCGTTTTCACGCTCAAGTTTCCCAGTCTGGACCGCAAACAGTATGTTCCTTCCCTACTTAGGTGAGTTTTTCGTAAAGATTTTATAATATATGTTTTTGGATTTTTTAATTTCAAGGCATTTCAGACATGTTTAAACCCCCTTCTGTTCTAGTGGCCAGGGAGCCCTGAGAGCTGACCCTGCACACTCTCTGCCTCAGGTCTCCCTCCTGTTCTCTCTCTGGGTGGAAACGGTGCGGCCTTACCTGCAGACAGTGGATGAGTGGATCGTGCATGGGCACCTGTGGGACGGCGCCAGGGAGTTCATCATCCAGAGGTGAGTCGCAGCAGAGTACAAGGTCGCTCCCCGTGAAAATCAAGCCTTGCATTACTTTCAAACGGTACTAAGAAAGTACAGTCCACATCACAGAACTTGTTGTCATCATAGGCTAGTTCTGTTTCATCTTTATGGAAGATGTCAGTAATACCAGCCGATTATTAATATCTTTGTCCAGGTTTTGTCAGTTCACAACTTTTAAGCAAATTATATTTTTGGATGATAGTGTATTTATGGCTATCTAATATACACTGCTTCCCAAAAAATGAGTTTAGGTGATATCACATGGTTTCCATTATTTCCACTGTAAAGTATCAGTAAAGAGATACAGAAATACTGCAGAATATGCCTCTAATACATTTATTGCTCAGAATTAGCTACTCGTTTCTTTTACCTCACTATAATTTTTTTTTTTTTTTTTTTTTTTTTTTTTTTTTGAGACGGAGTTTCGCTCTTGTTACCCAGGCTGGAGTGCAATGGCGCGATCTCGGCTCACCGCAACCTCCGCCTCCTGGGTTCAGGCAATTCTCCTGCCTCAGCCTCCTGAGTAGCTGGGATTACAGGCACGCGCCACCACGACCAGCTAATTTTTTGTATTTTTAGTAGAGACGGGGTTTCACCATGTTGACCAGGATGGTCTCGATCTCTCGACCTCGTGATCCACCCGCCTCGGCCTCCCAAAGTGCTGGGATTACAGGCTTGAGCCACCGCGCCCGGCCAATTAAATATTATATTAAGGTATTGAATTCATTCACTTCAGAGAACAGTAAAAAAAAAAAAAAAATACCTCACTATAATTTTTTTACTGTTCTCTGAAGTGAATGAATTCAATACCTTAATATAATATTTAATTGGCCGGGCGCGGTGGCTCAAGCCTGTAATCCCAGCACTTTGGGAGGCCGAGGCGGGTGGATCACGAGGTCGAGAGATCGAGACCATCCTGGTCAACATGGTGAAACCCCGTCTCTACTAAAAATACAAAAAATTAGCTGGGCATGGTGGCGCGTGCCTGTAATCCCAGCTACTCAGGAGGCTGAGGCAGGAGAATTGCCTGAACCCAGGAGGCGGAGGTTGCGGTGAGCCGAGATCGCGCCATTGCACTCCAGCCTGGGTACAAGAGCGAAACTCCGTCTCAAAAAAAAAAAAAAAAAAAAAAAATATTTAATAAAACAATCACAAAAAATCTTAATCCATTTATGACAATTTCCCTTCAGTTATTTAATTTTTCTGAACAGAATCATATAAACTATAATGTAGAGCTATTCGTACTCTTTTAACCCAATTGTAAATGATGTGGTGTGTTTACATGTGCGGTTTCTATTGATAGCTATCCATTGAACACATCGGGAAGGGTAACTTGAAGTCCTTAGTGGTCTGGAAGCGTAGCAATATGTATGCAATGCTCACATAAGGGAAGTGACCTCCCTTCAACGTAGTCTCTTGTCTGTCACTGTGTCCTGATTCATCAGTCTCACCTGAGAATTTCTGTGAAAAATGGGACTCTGTCTGTTCTCGTAGGGTGATGATTGACCATCATTTTATTGTTAAAAGTTGTCCAGTTAAGAATCTTGGTAGGGAAAATGGTAGAGAAGTCTGCAAATTAGTTTCACAGGAGATGGTAAATGGGAAAAACTTTTATTCTACTTCTAAAGAGTGCAAAATTAGTCATATTTTAAATAATTCCAATTCAGGAAACTGTTTCTACTTATTTAAATTTTACCTATACTGTGCAAACTATTTATTCGTTTTTGTCTTTCAACTGAGATGAGATTAAAACTGCCCCATTTGCCTAAAGATTGTTTCAGTTTACTAAGAATTAATGCTATATTTTATAATGTCTGGACAACAAACTAGAACAAGTTTACTACTTTTAAGGAAGGCAAGTTAAAGTTTAAAATTATTTTGAATCTCTTTAGAAACAAAAATGTTCCGGTTAATCACAGAGACTTCTGGTATGCAACTTACACGTTATACAGCGTGTCAGAAAAGACAGAAAGTGAAGAAAAAATGAGTGATAATGCGAGTGCGAGTTCCGGCAGTGACCAGGGGCCCTCCAGCAGGCAGCACACCATGGTGTCCTTCCTCAAACCTGTCCTGAAGCAGATCATAATGGCTGGCAAGTCCATGCAGCTGCTGAAGAACCTGCAGTGTGCAGAGAGCACCACTTGCCAGGCTGCAGCCAGAGGTACCTGTTCCGTGTTCTGTGTCTTCCTCGGTGTTGGGACACCTGACCCTGCTTCCTCTCGTCATCCTGATACCTGATTATTTTGTAGTTTGCAAGTCATCACACCCTCTTATTTCAGTGGTAACTATCAATCGTGATAGAATTAATAATCATGCTGCTCTTGATTTTTAAAAAGATCATCTTATTGCAAAACTTTAGTGCTGTGTTTAAAAAGGCGGTGACAATAAGTTCCACTTCATTTTCCTCACTCCGGATTCCTTAGGACTGCAACTTTAAAAAATAATTTCCTGCCATTTGTTTTCTTTTATTGTTTTTATAAACTGACGCCATAATTGTACATATTCGTGGAGTATATAGGGGTTTTTGATACATTTATGTATCAATTCAGGATAATTAGCATTTCCATCACCTCAAACATTTACTACTTCTTTATGTTGGGAACATTCAGTATCCTCCTCTTAGCTGTGTGCAACTCTATATTATTAACTGTAGTCATCCCGTAGTGATACAGAACACTAGAACTTACTCCTTCCAGCTAGCCATTTGTATCCTTTAACAAATAACTTCCTTCCTTCCCCCTACAAAATTGAGCATCTAGTATCCTGTTCTACTTTTTACTGACATGAGATAAACGTTTTGTAGCTACCACACATAAGTGAAAACATGCAGTGTTTAACTTCCTGTTCCTGGCTTATTTCACTTCACATAATGTTCACCATTTCCATCAGTATTGCCGCAAACAGCAGGATTCATCCTTTGTTATCTCTCAGTTCTGTGTGTGTGTGTACCACAATTTCTTTACCCATTCATCTGTTGTTGGACACCTACGTTGATTTCATATCTTGGCTGTGCGAATAGTACTGCAGTAAACATGGGGGTACAGATGTCTCTTTGATATCCTGATTTCCTTTCCTTTGGGTAAATGCCCACCAGTGGGACTGCTGTATCAGATAGTAGTTCTCTTTGTATTTTTTTGAGGAACCTTCAAACTGTTCTCCATAGTGTCTGCACTAGTTTGTAGTCCCATCAACATGGTGCCAGAGTTCCCTTTTCTCCATATCCTCACCAGCGTTTGTTATCTTTTGTCTTTGTGATAAATAGCCATCCTGACTGGGCTGAAATGATACCTCATTGTGTTTTGACTTGCATTTTCCCTAATAATTAGTGATGCTGAGCACTTTCTCATCTATTCATTGGCCATTTGTATGACTTCTTTGGAGAAATGTCTCTGGATCATTTGCCCGTTGTTGTTGTTGTTGTTGTTGTTGTTGTTGTTGTTGTTGTTGTTACAGGATTTCACTTCCATCACCCAGGCTGGAGTGCAGTGGTGTAATCTTGGCTCACTGCAAGCTCTGCCTCCCTGGCTCAAGTGATTCTCCTGCCTCAGCCTCCTGAGTAGTTGGGATTACAGACACCCGCCACCACGCCCAGTTAATTTTCTGTGTTTTTAGTAGAGACGGGGTTTCACCATGTTAGCCAGGCTGATCTGAACTCCTGACCTCAGGTGATCTGCCTGTCTTGGCCTCCCAAAGTGCTGGGATTACAAGCATGAGCCACCACGCCTGGCCTCATTCATTGAATTCTTTCACTGGAAAATTTACTTGTTTGTTAAATACCTATTTCTGTTGACCTTCTTATTCAAAACATTCTTTCCCTGATTTTATTGAATGTTTATTTGTACTCTCTTGTGTCTCACTGAGTTTTCTTAAGATTTTAATTCTGAATTATTTTTCTGACATTTCCTGTATTTCCTTATTGTAGTCTCTTACTGGAGAGTTACTGTTTTCCTTGGGAGGTGTCACGTTTCTTTGCTCTTTCACATTTGATGTATTCTACATTGATTTCTTTTTTTTTTTTTTTTTTTTTTTTTTTGAGACGGAATCTCACTCTTGTTACCCAGGCTGGAGTGCAATGGCGCGATCTCAGCTCACCGCAACCTCCGCCTCCTGGGTTCAGGCAATTCTCCTGCCTCAGCCTCCTGAGTAGCTGGGATTACAGGCACGCGCCACCATGCCCAGCTAATTTTTTGTATTTTTAATAGAGACGGGGTTTCACCATATTGACCAGGATGGTCTCGATCTCTTGACCGCGTGAGCCACCGCGCCCGGCCCTCTATATTGATTTCTACACATCTGGTGGGAAGGTCACCTTTTCCTATTTTATGGAGTACGTTTTGTAGGGAAAGAATTATTCCTATGAATGGGTCTTGGAGTGTCGGTTCAGTGGAATGCATTGGCCTTGGTTCTGGATGAATGCAGTAGTACAGCCTCCATGTACTTTCTACAGTTGCAATCCTCTTCAGTGATGTTTCCAAGTACCTCAGTGACCAACACTGAGGGAGTTTGCAGCAACAATGGCACAACTGGCCAGGCACAATGGCTCACGCCTGTAATCCCAGCACTTTGGGAGGCCAAGGCAGGTGGATCACTTGAGGTCAGGAGTTTGAGACCAGCCTGGTCAATATGCCAAAACCCTGTCTCTACGAAAAATGTAAAAATTAGCTGGATGTGGTGGCACATGCCTATAATCCCAGCTACTTGGAAGGCCGACGCACAAGCATCACTGGAACCCAGAAGGCGGAGGTTGCAGTTACCCAAGATGATACCACTATGCCCCAGCCTAGGCAGCAGAGCAAGACTGTCCCAAAACGAAAAAACAGTAGCCTGGCTGTGCTGGGGTAGGCTTACTGGACTGTTTCTCAGTTCAGGGGTACATGCATGTACACATTGGTTTGGCCAGGTTGGAACCACAGGCTGTTACTCTGGCAAGGAAGATGAGTATGTGGTTGCTTGGCCAGCCTATAGGCATATCTGCCTGCCAGCAATACCCCAGGGGGCTATTTCTCAGGTCTGGGATGTGTGCACAAGACGGGTTGGCAGGCCTGGGGGCTCCATGAAGGCAATCCACAGAGTAATTTCTCAAGTCTCGAACATGAGCTCAGGCTTCTCAGCTCTCCTGGGAGTATGTTTGCTGGGGCTGGCCTAGAAGGCTATTTCTCAGGCCCAGGATATGGGTACAAGGCTACTGGGGGTGCATGTCTGCCTCGACAGTCCAGGGGGCTCTTTCTCAGGCCTGGGACATGGTCACATGGCTTGTTGGCAGGCCTAGATATGTATTTGCCAGTGGCAGCCCATGAGCCTGCCTCTTAGGCCTAGCATATAGGTAGAAGGCTACTTGGCTGACCCTGGGGTGTGTTTACTGGGGGTGGACTTTAAGACTCTTTCTCAGGTTTGGGATACGGGTGTCAAGCTGCTTTGCTGGGTTTAGAGACATGCCCACCAAGGGCAGACCACAGGGCTGTGTGGCAGGCTCAGTGTGCAGGCCTATGGCTGCTCGGCTTGCCTGGGGCCGTGACTTCCAGGCACTGCCTGTGGGGTTTCTTCTCAAGCCAAGAATGCAGCGGAGACCACTCAAGAAGCCTAGGTGCATGCCTGCCAGGGCACCCTCTGAGGCTGTTTCTCAGATGCTGAATGCTGGCCAGGGTCACTGGGTAGGCCATAGGCCTATCTGCAAGGGGTTGGTGCTATGGGGCTGTTCTTCAGCTCCTGGGCACAGGTCTGTAGCTGCTCCACCAGCCTGGAGGCCTGTAAACTGGTAGAAAGCTCAGGGTGTTCCCACCCTCTGGAAGTGGCACAGCAGTTTGGCCAACTCAATTCAAGGGTGAGTTCACTCTGTCAGGTCTGCCAGACAGTGCAGTGGTAGGGGGTGGTTTTCCTGCTGTGCAGGACCAGAATCTCAGCTGATCCTGGGCCCAGGCTCCGCACAGCTCGGATTGTGGTATTCAGCCACCCCTGTGTCTGGGGTGCAGAAGTGTAGTGGCTACTGGCCCAGAGGAGGGCGTGCTCCAGAGGTGATTCTGGTCTTGAGATGTTGCCGTGCTGCAGCAGCTTGGCTCAGAGAGTGGGTGGCAAAGACACACCTTGTGCTCTTAACCCCGGGCAGGGTAGCTGCGTGTATTCCCAGCAGCTGTCCAAACCGGGCTCAGAGCTCAAGGGAACTGTGGAATCCTCTTATAGTAAGGACTGCAGGTGTTTGTGGGGGCTGGTGGGTTTCTTTTTTTTTTTTTTTTTTTTTTTTTTGAGACAGAGTTTCGCTCTTGTTACCCAGGCTGGAGTGCAATGGCGCGATCTCGGCTCACCGCAACCTCCGCCTCCTGGATTCAAGCAATTCTCCTGCCTCAGCCTCCTGAGTAGCTGGGATTACAGGCACACGCCACCATTCCCAGCCAATTTTTTGTATTTTTAGTAGAGACGGGGTTTCACCTTGTTGACCAGGGTGGTCTCGATCTCTCGACCTCGTGATCCACCCGCCTCGGCCTCCCAAAGTGCTGGGATTACAGGCTTGAGCCACCGCGCCCGGCCGGCTGGTGGGTTTCTTCTGCTTACTCTTACCCAACAATAGGAAGTCCTTCTTGACTCCAGACCAGCCTAATCTGCAAAGGGAAGACTGGTCTGCAGAGGCTGGAAGCCTCCACACTGCCCTCCTGTACCTCCAGTCACCAACAGTGTGTCACACTCCTCCACTGCACCCAGCACTCTCCTTTCAACCCCACTTAGATCTTAACTGTTGATTTGTTGACGTGGTCCTCTCTTGCAGTGGGGGGGAAGAGTGTCTCCAGGTAGCGGCCTTATAAGCATCACTCCCTCTGAATTTTTTTTTTTTTTTTTTTTTTGAGACTGAGTTTCACTCTGTTGCCTAAGCTGGAGTGCAGTGGCATGATCTGCAGCCTCACCTCCCGGGTTCAAGTGATTCTCATACCTCAGATTCCCAAGTAGTTAGGACTTCAGGCCACCATGCTTGGCTAATTTTTGTATTTTTAGTACAGGATTTCACCATGTTGGCCAACCTGGTCTTGAACTCCTGACCTCAGGTGATCCACCTGCCTCAGCCTCCCAAAGGACTGGGATTACAGGTATGAGCCATCATGCCCAGCCTCTCTGTCATTTCTTAATGCAGTGCAGCGTTTAACCCTTGAGGACCATGAACCATGGCTGTTAAGAATTTGTTGATGAGGCCGGGCACAGTGGCTCAAGCCTGTAATCCCAGCACTTTGGGAGGTTGGGGCGGGTGGATCACAAGGTCAAGAGATCGAGATCATCCTGGTCAACATGGTGAAACCCCGTCTCTACTAAAAATGCAAAGCATTAGCTGGGCATGGTGGCGCGTGCCTGTAATCCCAGCTACTCAGGAGGCTGAGGCAGGAGAATTGCCTGAACCCAGGAGGCGGAGGTTGCGGTGAGCCGAGATTGCGCCATTGCACTCCAGCCTGGATAACAAGAGTGAAACTCCGCCTCAAAAACAAACAAACAACAACAAAAAAGAATTTGTTGATGAGCAGTTCTGACTCGATCACAGATTTCAAGAAAATGAAGTTTGTTGTTTTTTTTTTTTTTTTTTTTGAGACGGAGTTTTGCTCTTGTTACCCAGGCTGGAGTGCAATGGCGCAATCTCGGCTCACCGCAACCTCCGCCTCCTGGGTTCAGGCAATTCTCCTGCCTCAGCCTCCTGAGTAGCTGGGATTACAGGCACGTGCCACCATGCCCAGCTAATTGTTTGTATTTTTAGTAGAGACGGGGTTTCACCATGTTGACCAGGATGGTCTCGATCTCTCGATCTCGTGATCCACCCGCCTCGGCCTCCCAAAGTGCTGGGATTACAGGCTTGAGCCACCGCGCCCGGCCTGAAAATGAAGTTTTATCCTGTAATCCCAGCACTTTGGGAGGCCGAGGTGGATGGATCACAAAGTCAGGAGATCAAGACCATCCTGGCCAATGTGGTGAAACTCCGTTACTACTAAAAGTACAGAAGTTAGCTGGGCGTGGTGGTGCATGCCTGTAATCCCCACTATTGGGAGGCTGAGGCAGGAGAACTGCTTGAACCAGGGAGTCAGAAGTTGCTGTGAGCCGAGATCATGCCACACTGTACTTCAGCCTGGCGGCGTAGCAGTGCTCTGTCTCAAAAAGAAAATAGTTTTATCAACTCACTAAAGTAGCTTGGAAGATAGATGTGGCCTTATTTATACATCTCAATCATCTCAATGCTTATTAATTATATTATTGTATCTACTTGAAATAAATAGATGCAGTACTTATTTTCACTTTGTGGAATGTTTCCTTCTTATGTAATGAACTTTCCAGAGCCACTGTCAGAAGTTTTTTCCAGTGAGACTATGACTCCTATCAGTGTTATCATAGTGTTATATACAATGTGGTAATAACTTTGAAGTATTCTGACTAGAATTTTACTATGTTCAGAAAAAACATACCTTATACGTTGTGATTCTATGAACATTGCAGTTGTTTAACAGGATCTAAAAATGTTTAGTTTTGCTACACTGTAAAGGTAAAAGTAAAGAAATAGGGATTAACCTTCCTAGAGCAAAGGGAAAATAGCAGGCTTAATTAGAATGATATTATTTAATGTTTCTCCTTTTTTTTTTTGAGACAGGTTTCACTCCTATTGCCCAAACTGAACTGGAGTGCAGTGGCATTATCTCGGCTCACTGCAACCTTCACAAGCTTTACCTCCCAAACACTCAAGTGATTCTCATGCCTCAGTCTCCCAAGCAGCTGGGACCATGGATTCATGCCACTACGCCTGGCTAATTTAATATTTCCTGGGCCAGGCATGGTGGCTCACACCTGTAAACCTAGGACTTTGGGAAGCTGAGGCAGGTGGATCACTTGAGGTCAAGAGTTTGAGACCAGCCTGGCCAACATGATGAAATCTGTCTCTACTTAAAAAAAAAAAAAAAATTAGCCTGGCTTAGTGGCACATGCTTGTAATCCCAGCTATTGGGAGGCTGAGGCAGGAGAATTGCTTGAACATGGGAGGCAGAGGTTGCAGTTAGCTGAGATCGTGCATTGCACTCCAGCCTGGGCGGCAAGAGCAAAACTCCATCTCGAAAAATGTTACTTAATGTAATTAAACAGAACATAGTTCACCTTTACATATTTCTTTATGTTTCAGATGCAGAAAGAAAAAGCTTATACACTCTCTTTCTGGAATCTGTACAGTCGCGGCTTCGACACGGAGAAGATTCCACTCCACATGTTCTCACTGAGCAACAGGCAACCAAAGAGAACCTAATTAAGATGCAATCCATTGCTGAAAGGCATCTTGAACTGGATGATGTTCACGATCCACTGCTTGCCATTAACTTTGCAAGGTGATAACACACCTGCAAGATTGTTAGTGATTGAAATGGCATAATCTGTGCAATGTTTGGTAACTGTTTATTTCTGGAAGGTAGGGCTTTCCAGGGCCAAAAACAAAAACATTTGTAGGCTATTCTTTTGTTTTGTTATATTTTGTTCTGTTTTTTCCTTCTTTTTTTTTTTTTTTTTTTTTTTTGGAGACAAGAGTCTTGCCTCTGTCGCCAGAGCTGGAGTGCAGTGGCGCCGCAATCTTGGCTTGCTGCAACCTCTGCCTCTTGGGTTCAAGCAATTCTCCTGCCTCACCCTCCCGAGTAGCTGGGACACGTGCGCCACCACACCCAGCTAATTCTGTTTGTATTTTAGTAGAGACGGGGTTTCACCATGTTGGCCAGGATGGTCTCGATCTTCTGACCTTGTGATCCAACGGCCTCGGCCTCCAAAAGTGCTGGGATTGCAGGCGTGAGCCACCATGCCCAGCCTTGTTTTGTTTTTGAGACGGAGCCTCACTCTGTCTTCCAGGATGGAGTGCAGTGGTGCGATCTTGGCTCACTGCAACCTCCTCATAGGTTAAGCGATTCTCCTGTCTTAGCCTCCCAAGTATCTGGACTGTAGACATGCACCACCATGCCTGTATTCTCAGGGTTTCATCATGTTGACCAGGCTGGTCTGAAACTCCTGACTTAAGGTGATACACCCACCTCGGCCTCCCAAAGTGCTGAGATTATAGGCATGAGCCACCGTGCCCTGCCTGTCCTTTATGAGCAGAATACAAAATGTGCTTGCCTATTTGTACAGTTTGGATTCTGTGTCATTTGTAAAAGTCTGCAGACTTGGCCCTGCCACCATGTGGTAGACCTTGTGTCTGTGCCCTCGGACCCCTGGAAGCGTCATCATTTACCCAGGATGTGCTGGAACTCTGGGCCATGAGTGGGTGGGCCCTGGACATCCATTGAGTCAGGGTCCCCATTGCCATATGTCCTGGGCTTAAGCTGCATTTAGGCAATTATCCCAATAGTGTAAGTCATTATTACCCACACAGTTTTGGGTTGTCTAATGGCCAGCATTTGCTACGTGCAGTCCTAATGACTGGAAAGATTGGCTCTAGTACCTGACCCTAGTTCAGTGGCAACTTCAAGAGACTGGTTCTCTCATAGGATATTTTGGGGAGAAAGATTTTTCTCTTTCTGTAATAGTTGGTAACTAGGACTAAAGGTAAAAATGGGAATTTGGGGTATTAAGAGAATTTCGTTGACAGCCACTCATATAAGAAGACTCACATTTTTATCTTGAAGGATGTATTTGGAGCAGAGCGACTTTCATGAGAAGTTTGCTGGTGATGATGTATGTGTGGATAGATCATCAGAATCTGTGACATGCCAGACCTTTGAATTAACGCTGAGGTCCTGCCTCTATCCTCATATTGATAAGCAGTATCTGGATTGCTGTGGAAATCTCATGCAAACTCTAAAAAAAGATTACAGGTAAAAGAGTAATTTGATTTTGGAAGTACTAAATAGATGATTGTACTTGAAGAGCAGTTGAGATTATTTTAAAACCTACATTTCAATTCCATTTTTATTAGAGTAGGAAATGGATATGCAGTAAACAATTTTATAGGAGAAATCAATTGACCATCAGTATTTTCTTAACTATGGCCGGGCGCGGTGGCTCAAGCCTGTAATCCCAGCACTTTGGGAGGCCGAGGCGGGTGGATCACGAGGTCAAGAGATCGAGACCATCCTGATCAACTTAGTGAAACCCCGTCTCTACTAAAATTACAAAAAAATAGCTGGGCATGGTGGCGCGTGCCTGTAATCCCAGCTACTCAGGAGGCTGAGGCAGGAGAATTGCCTGAACCCAGGAGGCGGAGGTTGCGGTGAGCCGAGATCGCGCCATTGCACTCCAGCCTGGGTAACAAGAGCGAAACCCCGTCTCAAAAAAAAAAAAAAAAAAATATTTTCTTAACTATGTTGTGAAACTTAATTAGTTATTTCTGAGGATCTTTCTTAAAAGAAATATGGGAAAAGCTTGTAGAAAAATGTTAAAAAGTTTGTTACCAGAATGAAAAACACAGAATTACTTAGTGATAGATAACGAGTTCTTTAAACTATGGCATATCCATAAATATGGCATATATATACCCACGTGTGAACTTTGTAAAGTTTATAAAAATTATGGCAGTTAAAAAGTAAGCTATAGGCCTGGCGCGGTGGCTCAGCCTGTAATCCCAGCACTTTGGGAGGCCGAGGCGGGTGGATCACGAGGTCGAGAGATCGAGACCATCCTGGTCAACATAGTGAAACCCTGTCTCTACTAAAAATACAAAAAACTAGCTGGGCGTGGTGGCGCGTGCCTCTAATCCCAGCTACTTAGGAGGCTGAGGCAGGAGAATTGCCTGAGCCCAGGAGGCGGAGGTTGCAGTGAGCCGAGATGGCGCCATTGCACTCCAGCCTGGGTAACGAGAGCGAAACTCCGTCTCAAAAAAAAAAAAAAAAGTAAGCTATATAATATGGTAGGAACTAGGTTTTCTTAACACATATAAGAGAAGACAGGAAAGAAACATTTCAAATATTAAATATTAATGGTGGAAATCCACCATGAATCATGGGATTTGGATTTTTTTTTTTGTTACATTTCTGTGACTGCCCAATTTTCTATAATGTTATAGAAGATTACCTTCTGATGATGAAAGGAAAACCTATGCTGTTTTTATTCTTGAAACAGGTCTTAAGAGGTGTTAATATTTCTAATTTTAGTAAAGGTAGACTGTAAACTTTTCACTAAAAACAATAGCGTACAAAACCTGGTATTGATCCCGAATCCTGCGTTACGAATGGTTGAGATCTTTGTGTCACTCATGTCCTCTCCATTCAGGTTGGTAGAATACTTGCAAGCCATGAGGAATTTTTTCTTAATGGAAGGAGGAGATACCATGTATGACTTCTACACATCAATTTTTGATAAAATAAGAGAAAAGGAAACCTGGCAGAATGTCTCTTTTCTTAATGTCCAGCTCCAGGAAGCCGTAGGACAGCGTTATCCTGAAGATAGTTCACGGTAAAATGTGGAAGCCACCTTTATGTGAATTAGTATAAAATGAACTATGTGCCAGTAAGCCTTCTATGAATTACACATAGTGTTTTTCCTTGCACCATTCCTTTGAATTTTACTAATATTATTTCACGTACTAGAAAATTGAGGCCAGGCGTGGTGGCTCACAGCTGTGATCCCAGCACTTTGGGAGGCAGAGGCAGTGGATCACCTGAGGTCAGAATTTTGGGACCAGTCTAGCCAACATGATGAAACCCCATCTCTACTAAAAATACAAAAATTAGCTGGGAATGGTGGCAGGTGCCTGTAATCCCAGCTACTTGGGAGGCTGAAGCAGGAGAATCGCTTGAACCTAGGAGGCAGAGGTTGCTGAGATCGCACCACTGCACTCCAGTCTGGGCAACAAGAATGAGACTCCATGGAAAAGAAAAGAAATTTGAGGCAGAGGCTAGCTAAGTGACTGTCCCACTAAACAAGAGAAGACTTTGAGATGCTACCATATGGCCAAGTGCAGTGGCTCACACCTGTAATCCTAGCACTTCGGGAGTCCTAGGTGGGAGGAATGCTTGCGCTCAGGAGTTTACAAACAGCCTGGGCAACATAGTGGGACCGCATCCCTACATAAAAATAAAATAGATGCCACCATACACCCTGTCAGGGTCTGAGGGCATCCTTCACATGCTTGGAGTCAGTGCTTCCTCTCTCTCTCTGAGTTCCCACACATCACCAGGTTTATCAGTCCTGCCTCCTCGAAAAGTCCCCTGAGCTCTCACGACCGTCTCAGAGTTCCCCAGTGGCCTCTGTGTCTCTCAGCCTCACTCATTTCCACCAAAACGGACTTGACCCTCACCATAGTGACCTCAGAGCACCAGCAGTGACTTCCGCCACTCATGCCCAGGCTCCCCGTGGGTGCCTGGTAACAGATGGACTAAACTTTGTCTCAGGAGTGAGGAAACTATTGACTGTCTGCCTCCATTTTCCCAGCCTCATGACTTGCACATATACACACCACGTTCTCCTGTCTCACTTCACATTTCAGGGATTTCAGAATATTTCTGTTGTCTGCCAGTGCTGTTCTCCCATCTTCCTGCGACGCGTTCTCCAGTTGGTCCTGGCAGAGGTCTGCTCACTCTTACATCCCCATGTCTTCATGTGCTGCACCAGGCTGGGAGTCCCTGGAGGGGTGAGAGGCTCTTTGTGCCTGCTCATTGCAGCCCCTACCTTAGTATTCGTATTTGGTAGATGCCTACCAAGCACTGAGTCAATGCGTGCATGTCAGGCCATTAAGAGCTAGAACTTCTGACTAGAGCCTGTTCCATGGATCAGCGTTCTTAAGCACACACTGCCCTCTGACAGCTCTGGTATGGCAGTTAACTCCCCACTTTAAACCACCTTCATGTGCATCCGGGCATGCCCTCTTAGTGCCTCTGACTGTAAGAGGACATTATTTCTCAGGAACCACTGATGGGACTATTTTTAGGATTAAATGAGCTAAGGATACATAATAGTTCCTGGCACGTGGACGTTTTCATGTCCATGTTAGTTGCTTGCTTTCCCCTAAGAGTCACATTCAAACCTGTCTCAGGAACTTGTGGATGAAGTCATGCACAACACCTGTGGTGTAGAAGCAGACCCCACCCCATCCTGATGGGGCTCCCGAAGCAATGGTGTCCCTCGAGATGCTCTGCTCACCCTTTTCTGCCCACCCCCAACTTCAGCAAAAGCTTCATCTTCCCAGCCATGGCCTGAAGTTTACTGTCTTACCCAGCTTCATCTTTTTTTAATCACTGCCATTGTTAAATGTCTCTTCCATAACTAAACTCATTATTTAAAAGCTTTCCCCCTCTTCATTATTTCTACATTCAAATGTCTGTTCTGGAATATATGTCAGAAAAGATAAATGTGTTGAATGTGTGCATTTATTTTATGAAATGCCGTATTTTGTGGGGAGTATTATGTAAATAATACTATTTTAAAAGAGCATTTTTGTATGACATAATGCTTTCACAAACTAAAACAAATTTCTTTTTTTAGTCTATCTATATCTTTTGAAAATGTTGACACAGCTAAGAAGAAACTACCTGTTCATATCTTAGACGGTCTGACCCTCAGCTACAAGGTATATCCTGATATTCTTTGTATGAACAGTGTTTCCTACTCAAAGTAAAAAATGCAAGTAATAGGTTACTTTCTATCCTAATTTTGTTTTTATTTCGTAGGTCCCGTGGCCTGTGGACATTGTTATAAGTTTGGAATGTCAAAAAATTTATAATCAAGTGTTTCTTCTCTTACTGCAAATAAAGTGGGCAAAATATAGTCTGGATGTTTTACTTTTTGGTGGTAAGATTTGTTTTCCGCAGATACATTGTAATTTAATTTAATTTTAGTCCTAATAAAACAGGTTGGTGGGAAAGGGAATCGTATGGGGATGGCGGTCGTTGATCATTTTCAATGTGTACACAAATGCCAGCATGGCGTGTATTCTAGCAGTAGTTTTACGGACGTCAGATACCTGAAAGAAAGATCAGGAAGTTCTATGCACAGTTGATCTGAAATGCAACAGCTTGATTAGGAATTTGACCACAATAAATTTTCTCGTGTTATGCAAAAATTTGAAATGACACATTAATGAGATTTTGTCGTGTATCATGACAGTAGTAAGAAAAGTGACAGAGGGAAATTTTTCCACTGCACCTTCCAGAGGCACTGAGGTTCGGTGTCTGCCACCCCTGCCAGTGCTTCCTGTGGTGCCAGGGCTGCATCCCTCAGAGTTTCTGCCAGGCGTCATGGTGCGGTGGGGTTTGAGTGGATGCTCTTTCTCTCTACTTCGCTCTTTCAATCTTTTGCAGAACTGGTTAGTACTGCCGAAAAACCACGACCTAAAGAAGGCCTTGTACATGAACAAAACACAGTCACTCAGTTCGGACCACAGAAAGAACCAGTGAGACAGCAGATTCATCGCATGTTTCTCTTAAGAGTGAAGCTCATGCATTTCGTGAACAGCTTGCACAACTACATCATGACCAGGGTTTGTGCCTCTCCCATCTGCTTCAGTTTTAGTGCCTTATCTATACAGTTCTTAGAGAATTACTTATCCTATCTTTATAAATACAAAATACCTACAGACTGTGAAAACGGGACATGTGGCAAATTTAACCATAAAACAACATGGTGGTACGAGGAAGGTTTTTGTAAATATACTGGTGTATGTGTACCCAGAGGCTGCTGTCCCTCCTATCCAGTCACCCTGGGGACAGGCACAGCCACAGCTCCTCTCGGAATTGCCTTCAGAATGTACCACATAGGCCTTTAGGTTTCATTACTGATGACAGCTGTCCCTAAAAAAATGGCTCCAGTGTTTAATAGCCAAAATTCACAGGCCATTGTGTGTGGGAGGAAGATGCAGCTAGGTTATATATTTTATTTCTTTTCTTTTTTCTTTTTCTTTTTTTTGAGACGGAGTCTTACTCTGTCGCCCAGGCTGGAGTGCAGTAGCATGATCTCAGCTCACTGCAACCTCCAACTCCTGGGTTCAAGCAGTTCCCTGCCTCAGTTTCCTGAGTAGCTGGGGTTATAGGCATGTGCCATCACACCCAGCTAATTTTTGTATTTTTAGTAGAGAGAGGGTTTCACCATCTTGGCCAGGCTGGTCCTGAAATTTTGACCTTGTGATCTGCCCGCCTTGTCCTCCCAAAGTGCTGGGATTACAGGCATGAGCCACCGCACCCAGCCTTAAACGTTTTTTCTTAAAAACAATTAGTAACTCACTACAAAGTAATGAAACTGCCCTTCTGATACATCTAAAAGCCAGTTCTAGAGGAAGTTCTGAAAGTAGAGTTCAGAAATTGGAACAGGAGCAGTGTATTAGAGGACAGCAATGCATTTGGGGTTTCAGTTGTTGTTTATACCTGTTCTGGTCTGTGAGTTCTGAAACCTTTCTTGCTTGGATAAAGCGAGCATCTGAAGCCTGTTTTGGATGTGAAGGCTATGGCAAAGGGGCTCCATGCTTCCCTTGACTACATTACTGACCTTCACAAGGCTGGCCTTCATTAAGCCCCGAATTGTTAAGAGTAAATGATAAGAGTTTAAGTTTTTTCTTAGTTTGTTTTTTATTTGAAGTATACTCGGCCGGGTGCGGTGGCTCATGCCTCTAATCCCAGCACTTTGGGAGGCCGAGGTGGGTGGATCACGAGGTCAAGAGATCAAGACCGTCCTGGTCAACATGGTGAAACCCCGTCTCTACTCAAAATACAAAAAATGAGCTGGGCATGGTGGCACATGCCTGTAATCCCAGCTACTCAGGAGGCTGAGGCAGGAGAATTGCCTGAACCCAGGAGGCGGAGGTTGCGGTGAGCGGAGATGGCGCCATTGCACTCCAGCCTGGGTAACAACAGCGAAACTCCGTCTTAAAAAAAAAAAAAGGGGGCCGGGCGCGGTGGCTCAAGCCTGTAATCCCAGCACTTTGGGAGGCCGAGGCGGGTGGATCACAAGGTCCAGAGATCGAGACCATCCTGGTCAACATGGTGAAACCCCGTCTCTACTAAAAATACAAAAAAAATTAGCTGGGCATGGTGGCGCGTGCCTGTAATCCCAGCTACTCAGGAGGCTGAGGCAGGAGAATTGCCTGAACCCAGGAGGCGGAGGTTGCGGTGAGCCGAGATCGCGCCATTGCACTCCAGCCTGGGTAACAAGAGCGAAACTCCGTCTCAAAAAAAAAAAAAAAAAAAAAAGGAAGTATACTCATAATCATTTTAGAGAAAGATGAAGGAAGTATACTCATATTCATTTTAGAGAAAGATGAAGGAAGTATACTCATATTCATTTTAGAGAAAGATGAAGCATGAAAAATGGAACTTAAGAAACATAAATTCGGCCGGGCGCGGTGGCTCAAGCCTGTAAGCCCAGCTACTCGGGAGGCTGAGGCAGGAGAATTGCCTGAGCCCAGGAGGCAGAGGTTGCAGTGAGCCGAGATCGCGCCATTGCACTCCAGCCTGGGTAACAAGAGCGAAACTCCGTCTCCAAAAAAAAAAAAAAGAAAGAAACAAAATCAGTGTAATTATTTGTATAAAAGTAACACATTTGACTTTTTTTAATCATTGTATCTTCTATACAGTTTAATGTACTTGCACCTTCCTACCAGAAAGTCTGTTAGCCCAGAGTTTGGCGTTCGTTCGTTCACTGTGCAAGTGGCTGCCCCTGCCGTCCTCTTAGGATCAGAACGCCAAAGTATCCAGCCAGCCTTTGAAGAATGGTACTTGAAGAAACTTTGTAGATGGGATTATTGAAGGAAGAATTTGAGAGGAGTAGAAGAGCTTAGTAAAAAGATTTGTGGGCGGCACACAAGTCCTCAAAGGAAGCTGCTGAGTAAGCATTTTATCTTTCTCTTCCAAGATTCTACACAGTACGGGCCTGGAGTTTCAACATCAAGTCGAGGAAGCCAAGGATTTAGATCAATTGATTAAAATTCACTATAGGTACCTGTCAACCATCCATGACCGGTGTCTGCTGAGAGAAAAGGTACATGAGCTGTGTCCTGCCGATGTGACCACTGCTGGGCAAACTAGGCTGTCTGCCTGCTTTGGGATTTTATGATGATTAAGCCTTTGTCCTGTAGAGTATTCTTTAAGGAAGAACCAGATCAAATGAGGTTACAAGCGAATGTCCCAGGCTGGCCACACTGGCTCACGCCTGTAATCCCAGCAGTTTGGAAAACTGAGGCGGGTGAGTCTTATGAGGCCAAGAGTTCAAGACCAGCCTGGGAAACATAGCAAGACCCTGTCTTCACAAAAAATTTAAAAGATTAGCAGACATGATAGTGCACAGGTGGAGGCCCAGCTGCTTGAGAAGCTGTACTGGGAGCATTGTTTGAGGCCAGGAGTTCGAGGCTGCAGTGAACTATGATCACGTCACTGCACTCTGCACCCCAGCTTAGCTAACAGAGAAAGACCCAGTCTCTTAAAGATAAACAGAAGGAGGAGTGCCCTATCAGTAGAAATTGCATCTAAGAGCAACATGAGATTCAGTTGGGAAGTTGTGTCTGCAGTTGTAGAGTAATAGCATGTCCACTTGAATTCAGTCATATTAAAACCGCTAGAATTACTTGTCCTAGTTTCATTGGTGAATGTAAATGGCCATCCTAGGAAAAGATCTTAATAGTTTCTTCTTTTGGTTTGACTCTACTGCTAATACCACCTGTACCTTACAATCAGTAAATGCACGGGCCCCTAGTCCCAAATGGGTGTGGTTCAGAGCCTAGAACATAGAAGGCAGTCACTGTGGTGATGAGCTTTTTCTGTGATTCATTTAAAATAGATATAAGTGTTGGTATCAGTGTCCAAACTTCATTACACAGTTTGTATTCTGCGACCTTGGTCTCCAGGTCAGCTTCGTGAAGGAAGCCATCATGAAGGTGTTGAACTTGGCTCTCATGTTTGCAGATGGTTGGCAGGCGGGCCTGGGTGCTTGGCAGTAAGTATGTGACTCTTTTTTTTTTTTTTTTTTTTTTTTTGAGACGGCGTTTCGCTCTTGTTACCCAGGCTGGAGTGCAATGGCGCGATCTCGGCTCACCGCAACCTCCGCCTCCTGGGTTCAGGCAATTCTCCTGCCTCAGCCTCCTGAGTAGCTGGGATTATAGGCACGCGCCACCATGCCCAGCTAATTTTTTGTATTTTTAGTAGAGACGGGGTTTCACCATGTTGACCAGGTTGGTCTCGATCTCTCGACCTCGTGATCCACCCGCCTCGGCCTCCCAAAGTGCTGGGATTACAGGCTTGAGCCACCGCACCCGGCAGTATGTGACTTCTGAAGCATCTGCGCTGTAACCATTTCAGCTTCGGCTTTTTTTTTTTTTTTTTTTTAGAGATGGGTTTTCCCAGCTTCTCAGGAGGCTGAGAGGGGAAGATTGCTTGAGCCCAGGAGCTTAAGAGCAGCCTGGGCAACATAGCAAGACCCGGTCTTTTTCAATATATCTGTGGAGTAATTTCAAATGTTTTTTGGTTTAATTATTTAAAATCCTAAATCTGGGCTGGGTGCGGTGGCTTATGCCTGTAATCCCAGCACTTTGGGAGGCCGAGGCAGGTGGATCACCTGAGTTCCGGAGTTGTAGACCAGCTTGACCAATATGAAGAAACCCCTTCTCTTAGCCTACCTGTAAACCCCAACCCACTTACTTATTTGAAATTTACTTTTCTTCCTAGAATGGAATCTATAGAGAAAATGGAGTCTGATTTTAAAAACTGCCATATGTTTCTTGTAACCATTTTAAACAAAGCCGTGTGTAGAGGATCCTTTCCCCATTGTGAGTATATCATGTTAAAATATTTCTACTTTTGTATTTTCTTGTAACTAAGTGTATGTTATTGTTTTGTTACTGATCCCATGAAGAATTAGAATTTCTCACCATTTTCAAAACCGAAAAGTCCCTTAGCAGTTGTGCCATGCCTTGAATTGCTTTTTAAGCATTGCAGTGAGGTAAGTGAATATCAAATGTAAATTTGTAAGCCTGAGGATCTTACTTTCTAGTATGCCATTTATTACAACAGATTTCTAAAACTCCCATTAAATAAAGTCCATGGCAAATAGATTTCTGTCTCACTTCACTTTTGTGTAGCTTTTGTAACTATTCCTTTTCAAATCTAGACTTTTTAAGTTTTTTTAGGTATAGAAAGCTCCTGGCCTGGCACCATGGCTCAGTCTGTAATCCCAGCACTTTGGGAGGCCAACCAAATCATTGAGGTCAGGAGTTTGAGACCATCCTGGACAACATGACAAAACCCTGTCTCTACTAAAAATCTAAAAATTAGCTTGGCATGGTGGCACATGCCTGTAATCCTAGCTACTCGGGAGGCTAAGGCAGGAGAATTGCTTGAACACGGGAGGCAGAGGTTGCCGTGAGCCTAGATCATGCCACTGCACTCCAGCCTGGAAGACAGAGCAGAACTTGGTCTCAGAAAAAACAAGCAAACAAATAAAACTTTTTTTCAACTAATTTAAACCTATTGTTTTAACCTTATTTTTATTCTTCCCACAGTGGAATCTCTAGCACTGTCCCTCATGGCTGGCATGGAACAAAGTTAAATACCTTCAGTGTAATAAGTATCTCAGACTTCATCGTCACACATGTACATTTCCACCCTGTGCAGCTGAAAAATGAGAATCTTTTTATTTTGGTTTATTTGTAAAACTTGTCCACGGTCAGCCAGGTACAGTCGCTCACGCCTCTAATCCCAGCACTATGGGAGGCCAAGGCAGGCGGATGGATCACTTGAGCCCAGGAGTTCGAGGCCAGTCTGGGTAACGTGGTGAAACCCCATTCTGCCAAAAATACAAAATGTACCCAGACATGGTAGTACATGCCTGTAGTCCCAGATACTTGGGAGGCCAAGATGGGAGGATTACTTGAGCCCAGGAGGTCAAGGCTGCAGTGAGCCATGATTGTACTACCGCAGTGCAACCTGAGTGAGAGAGTGAGACCCTGACTCAAAAACCACTTGTCCGCAGTCCAGACAAATGGATTGTAGGTGGTTTTTCTGGAGATTAGTAGATACTATGCAGGGTTGTGTATATAAAATTGTGTAAATAGTGCAAAGTGTATATAAGCTGTTTACTGCTGTATTTCCTACTGTAAGATACAGATTTATGGTACTGATACCTTTAAATTATATTTTGAAAATGTGATTACTGATATTCAAAATAAAGGACTTAAAATTATTTTATTCTCCCTGCTGTCCTTCAGTCACAGAAAGTTTTTATATAGAGTTTTACATGTTGTCTTCCCTAAAAGTTGTCTTAGATTTAGCTGTCTAGAAATGTTTATATTTTAGCTGGGCTTAGTCTCTCAAGCCTGTAATCCCAGCACTTTGAAAGGCTAAGGTGAGAGAATTACATGAGGCTAGAAGTTCAAGACCTTGAAATTCACTTTTATTCCTAGAATGGAATCTATAGAGAAAATGGAATCTGATTTTTAAAACTGCCATGTTTCTTGTTAAAAGTTAGCCAAGCGCCGGGCGCGGTGGCTCAAGCCTGTAATCCCAGCACTTTGGGAGGCCGAGGCGGGTGGATCACGAGGTCAAGAGATCGAGACCATCCTGGTCAACATGGTGAAACCCTGTCTCCACTAAAAATACAAAAATTAGCTGGGCATGGTGGCGCACGCCTGTAGTCCCAGCTACTAGGGAGGCTGAGGCAGGAAAATTGCTTGAACCCAGGAGGCGGAGGTTGCGGTGAGCCAAGATCATGCCATTGCACTCCAGCCTGGGTAACAAGAGCGAAACCCCGTCTCAAAAAAAAAAAAAAAAAAAAAAAAAAAAAAGTTAGCCAAGCATGGTGACACGTGCCTGTAGTGCCAGCTCCTTGGGAGGCTGAGGTGGGAGGATTGCGTGAGATGAGGAGGTCGAGGCTGCAGTGAGCCATGATTGCATCACTGCACTCCAGCCTGGATGACAGAGCAAGACATGTCTCTAAAAAAAAAAAGAAAAAAGAAAAGTTTATATGTTTTATGCACCTGAGAATTTCCACATGGAAAATACCTTCACCTAATATCAATAAATGTAAAAGGCCAACTTAACTTATGGCCAGCTGTTGGTACATACTGTTGTTTGGTTTTGTTTGTTTGTTTGTTTGTTTTTTGAGACGGAGTTTCGCTCCTGTTACCCAGGCTGGAGTGCAATGGCGCGATCTCGGCTCACCGCAACCTCCGCCCCCTGGGTTCAGGCAATTCTCCTGCCTCAGCCTCCTGAGTAGCTGGGATTACAGGCACGTGCCACCATGCCCAGCTAATTTTTTGTATTTTTAGTAGAGACGGGGTTTCACTATGTTGACCAGGATGGTCTCGATCTCTGGACCTCGTGATCCACCCGTCTCGGCCTCCCAAAGTGCTGGGATTATAGGCTTGAGCCACCGCGCCCGGCCTGTTTGTTTGTTTTTAACAGATCACTCCATTGCCCAGGCTGCAGTGCAGTGGCACAATCTTGGCTCACTGCAACCTCCGCCTCCTGGGTTCAAGTGATTTTCTAACCCTAACCCAGCTAATTTTTATATTTTTAGTGGGACGGGGGTTTCTCCATGTTGGCTAGACTGGTCTTGAACTCCAGGGCTCAGGTCATCTACCTGCCTCAAGCCTCCCAAAGTGCTGGGATTACAGGCATGAGTCACTGTGCCCAGCAATATTTCTGAGCAATTTTTGTGAGCTAATCAGTTATATTTTCAATAAAATTATCCATGCCATTCAATTTTTCCGTATTTACTTTGTATACTTTTTGCATGTGTGTTAGGATCCTCCAGATAAACGAATAAATAGGATTACATAAATACTTATCATGAAGTAGTGACTTATGAAGTCCCATGATCTGCTGTCTGCAACTTGGAGGTCTGGGGAGGCCAGTGGTGCAGTTCTATGCCAACCCTGAAGACCTAAGAACCAGGAGAGCCGATCGTGTCCCAGTCTGAGTTCAAGGGCTGGAGAACCAGGGAGTGCCCGTGTTGGAGGGAAGGAGAAGGCGGACATCCCAACTCAAGCAGAGAGCAAATCGGCCTTTCCACTCTCTGCCTTTTGCTTCTGTTCAGACTCTCAGCAGATTGATGATGCTCACCCTCATTGATGAAGGTGATCTTTGCTCATACCAACTGAAATGCTAACCTCTTCTGGAAACACTCAAAAGACACAGCCCCAAGTAATGTTTTCCCAGCCATCTGAGCATCCCTTGGCCCAGTCAGGTGAAACATAAAGTCGACCGTCACAGCATGTCTCGAACCCTGTGACTCAGTACGATACTATTTATTTCCTTCCGAAAAGTAACCACTGAACTCCAAAGAGCCCTCACAGCGAAGCACTGGGGCGCCCTTTCCCTGAGACGGTCTCTTTCGGCATCAGCATTTCCTACATACAGACAGCAAAATCTGGAGAGTAGCCCATTCACATCCTGGGTTTTATTCAGAAGTCTCAGGAGAAGTTCACTGGGGAGGCCTTCAAATGAGCAGCTACTTCCGAGTCTTAGGAAATTACCATTGTTGAGCCCAGTTCTGAGGTGGAATCAGATGTGGAGCAGGGCCCTGCAGACAGCACAGAGGGAGTGATGGGCCAGAGGTGAGAGCGTCCGCAATGTGGGTGAGCAGAACTGGCCGTCAGGTGGTACTGTGTAGGATCAAGATGGCTAGGCCCTTCTACGCCTCAGTCTCACTGGCTGCAGGTCCCTGGGAAGAGTGCGCCTCTGCAGCAGAGGCGCTGAGGGGCCGGCAGTTGCACCTAGAGGGCTCTGGACATCACATCATCATGTTAGCTGCCTTCATCAAGTACCACTTGAGTTTTCTGAATAAAAAGCCATCTTTACATCAAATCTGAGAGCTGTTCCTTTGCTCGTGTCTGTGAAAAAGCAAACTCCATGCTGCATGTAGCCCTATCATATGTGTAAAATGGATTGGGTCTTTCACTCAATTTTTCTTAACGGTTCTCTAAGACCTTTTTAAAAAATTGTTAGTCGTTTTCCAGACAGGCATGTAGGAAGCCTGTAAGTCGTGATACCCATCTTCCCAAGGAAAAAAAAAATATGACATTGGAAATATCCATTTTCTAGGAATGCATTTGGTACAATATATACAATTCCTTTATGTAAAAAACCACAAAGCATTGCTCAGAGATGACTAAAGGCCTTAATAGACCAGATGCAGTGGCTCACATCTGTAATCCCAGCACTTTAGGAGGCCCAGGCATGTAGGTCACCTGAGGTCCGGAGTTCAAGACCAGCCTGTCCAACATGGTGAAACCTCCATCTCTACTAAAAATACAACATTAGCCGGGTGTGGTGACGGGCACCTGTAATCCCAGCTACTCGGGAGGCTGAGGCAGAAGAATCACTTGAACCCAGGAGGCGGAGGGTGCAGTGAGCCAGGGTCGCCCCGTTGCACTCCAACTTGAGCAAGTGAAACTCGGTCTCAAAAACAAAAAGACCAAAATTAAAAGATGTAGCATGTTTATGAGTTAGAAGAGTAACATGGTTAAGAGATCAGTTATCGCCAACTGATCTACAGAATCATTGCAGTTCCAATTAATTCCAGCAGACATTTTGTAGAATTTGACAAGCTGATTCTAAAATGGATACACAAAGGGCCTAGAGTAGCCAGAGCAATCTGGAAGGAGAGGAAAAATGTTAGAGGACTTACATTATCTGATTTCAAGGCTTTTTTTTTTTTTTTTTTTTTTTTTTTTAAGGTGGAGTCACCCAGGCTGGACTGCAACGGCGCAATCTCAGCTCATTGCAACCTCTGCTTCCTGGCTTTAAGCAGTTCTGCCTCAGCCTCCCAAGTAGCTGGGATTACAGGCACGCACCATCATGCCTGTCTAATTTTTATATTTTTAGTAGGGATGGTGTTTCACCATATTGGCCACACTGGCCTAGAACTCCTGACCTCATGAACTGCCCACCTCAGCCTCCCAAGGTGCTGGGATTACAGTTGTGAGCCACTGCACCTGGCCTGATTTCAAGGCTTTTTAAAGCTAGAGTAATCAATATAGTATGGTACTAGCAAACTGATAAAGAAATAGATCAGTGAAGCAGAATAGAGTCCAGAAATACATGGTCAGTTGAGGTGGTTTTCCTTTTTAACTAAGATAACATAAAATGTAATGGAGGAAGGATAATGTGTAAATAACTAGTGCTGGAACTAGGTAACTGTAAAAGAAAAGCTAATCTTTACCTCATACCATAAACAAAAATTTATTTGACATGCACCATGGACTTCAATGTGAAAGCTGGGGCTGGGTACGGTGGCTCATGCCTGTGATCCCAGCACTGTGGGAGACCGAGGCAGGAGGAGCACCTCAGGTCAGGAGTTCGAGACCAGGCTGACCAATATGGCGAAACCCTGTCTCTACTAAAAATACAAAAATTAACCAGGCATCATAGCATGTGTCTATAGTACCAGCTACTCAGGAGGCTGAGGCATGAGAATCACTTAAACCTGGGAGGCGGAGGTTGCAGTGAGCCAAGATCACGCTACAGCACTACAGCCTGGGCGACAGAGCAAGGCTCTGAATCAAAAATTTTAAAAATAAAAATAAAGGCAAGGTCTCACTGTTTCCCGGCTGATCTGAACTCCTAGGCCCAAGTAGTCCTTTGGCCTCAGCCTCCCAAAGTGCTGGGATGACAGGTGTGCGCCACTGCATCTGGCCCAAGCCATTTTTTTTAATGAGCACAAAGAGGCAAGGAAGGCACCAACATGGCCAATTAAACTACACAAGCACCACAGCCTCTGGAATGGCTGAAATAAAAAGACCAGCAATGTCAAAGAATTTTCAGGGATTAGAGCAACTGGAAGTTACAAGATAGTACAATCACTTGGGGAAACTATATGGCATTTTTGTCAAACATGTATGTACTCCTGAGAAACAGCAGTTCACCCTTAGGTATTTATCCAAGATAAATTCTTAAATGCATCAACCAAGAGATTTGTATCTGAATATTCATGAGCTAAAAGCTAGAAACATCCTGATGACTATGAAGAGGTAGATGGATAAACAGTGAAGTATAGGCATGCAATGGAATTCAGCTGTGAAAACACACAGCTCATACATAGCAACATAAGGGAATTCAAGAACTTTATGCTGAAAAAAAGAAAAAAAAGCACTCCATAGCCGGGTGCAGTGGCTCAAGCCTGTAATCCCAGCACTTTGGGAAGCCAAGGCAGGCAGATCACGAGGTCAGGAGTTGAAGA